ATTGGTAAACTTCAGATGGGCTTAAACATGTCCCTTCTTGAGCAGGGGGACCTTGCGGGCGCTGCAGGATTTCAATCCATTGTGGCGTAGTGTGTTACCAGTGGTTTGCTTGGTGACTGTGGTCCCAACTGCCTTAAAATCATTAACAAGCTCCACCCGTGTAGTTCTGGGCTGATCCCTCACCTTTCTCATGATCATCCTTACCTCATGAGGCCAGATCTTGCATGGAGCTCCAGACCGAGGCCGATTGATTTTTCATTTAGTATTTCTTCCATTTCTGAATAATCGCACGAACAGTTGTCTCCTGCTCTCCAAGCTTCTTGCTGATGGTCTTGTAGCCCATTCCAGCCTTGTGCAGGCCTACAATCTGGTCCCTGATGTTTGACAGCTCTTTGGTGGAGAGGTTGGAATGGAAGATACAGATTCTGTGGACAGGTTTCCACTGACATTAGGAGTACTTTCTTAAAGTGACAGGACTAATCTGTGTTCCCCACGGGCACATAACCAATCTGTGGGAGGCAGAATTCTTGCTGGTTTCTTGAGGATCAAATACTTCCTTCACTCGATCAAATGCTAATCAATTTGCAACCTTATTATAATGTGTTTTTTTCTAGATTTTTGGGTTGATATTCTGTCTCAATCCGTCAAAATAAACCTACCATAAAAATGATAGACCCTTCATTTTTTTTGTAAGTGGGCGAACTTACAAAATCAGCAGGAGATCAAATAGTTATTTCCCCCACTCTATAGAGACACCAGAAGCTGAGGTAAGATCAGCACAGAAGGAGAGGTCATCTCACCAGAATATAGTCTGCCCACTGTGCCCTGGCTGATGTGAGCGCAGCCTGCCTCAGCTTCATCACATGCGTGAACCGAGACTCCGTCCAGTGCTTGGGGCCCAGCTCATCCACATAATAACTGTAAATCATTATAATAACTAACCCAATGCTTCTAAGGCACGTTTATTAAAGCTATACTTAAATGCCCTAATTGAACCAAGGAATAATCCTGGTTTAATCTAAACCCTGTCTGTGAAACCGGGCTGTTAATGTAATGTGCATGTGTTTTCACCTCTTCTCCTCCTCCATGGTCTGCAGTTGTACTGAATGATACAAAAGCTCTACTCCGGAGAGCCATTCGTGCAGCATTGCAGTGGTGTTGTCAATATTGTGATCGGTAGCGGCCCTGACAAACAGAAAGTCCATGTTAAGACCAGAATTAAACCATTTAGCCCATGTTGCAATTTTTGGTAACACGGTATTTTGAGGTGACGTATTTGCATGTTACTGCATGTACTTACAACAGTAAATGATGCATAATTACAAGTAACTAACCCAAACCCTAACCATAACTCTATAGTAAATACATGTTGTAATTTAATATTACTCAGTACTTATTTGAGTAAATACATTGTAACTACGTCACCAATGCCATACAAAACTAACATTCAAAAAGTTTGGGGTCAGTAAGATTAAAAAAAAAGAATAAATTAATACTTTCAATTCAACAAAGACATTGATCATTAAATTGATCAAAAGGAACCGTAAAGACATTTATTACGTTACAGAAGATTTCAAATAAATGCCGTTCTTTTTAACGTTCTATTCACTTACGAAACACTTATCACGGTTTCCACAAAAGTATTGAGCAGCATAACTGTTTTCAACATTGATGATGATAAGAAATGTTTCTTGGGCATCAAATCAGCATATAGAAATTATTTCTGTACTGTAAAAAATTACACAATAACTCAGTAAGTCATGTCAACATGTATTTTTACATTACTTCAACTCATCAAAATAAGTTAAGCCAATTTAAACTTAATTTTTTTAAGTTGTAAGAGATTCCTCTCATTTTTTAAAGTCAGTTTAATGTAAGTTGAAATGACTTACAAAGCAAAGTAGATTGTAGGCCTACTTAAAAACTTTAAGGCAGCAAGTTTCTTTTTAAGTAAGTAATTATGCTGAAAATTCTAATATTTAAATATAAAATGATTATTGTGAGACTTCATTCAAAAACATTTAAAAAATCTTACTGGCTCCAAACTTTTGAATAGTAATGTATTCTTTTGTCCATTATTGTGTATTGGTTTTATAATAATTATGTAATAAAATTTTATATAAACAATAATTAATTAATACATTAAATAATAATATTACTACTACTAATAATACTTTTATGTCTTTATTTGATTGGATTTTTAAATAATAATAATAATTATTTATAAAAAATTAATCAAATCAAATAAATAAATTATTATTATTAATGTAAAAATAAAACATACAATAAGAACTAAGACGACATTATTATTGGTCACATTTTTGCTGTTTTTGGAGTGCAAACTGCCTGCACTTTCTCCTTCATTTCTCCATTTACTCATCTGCATTCTTTCACTTCACTGCGATTCTTGTCATATTTACTTTTCAAGCTTTCCAGGATATTTCAGACTAAGGTGTAATTAAAAGCCCAGTGCTCACTTCAATGTGTGGTCAAATACAAAACCACTGACATATGTATTATATATCTGTGTGATAATAGTAACACATTATGGTAACTTTCAGCAATAAGACATTAAACTCATGTAATGAATTAAAGCACTTTCATGTAATCTCACATTTGAATCTGCACAATAGAAAATACATCCATTCCTATACCTTAATCTGATATGTATTCCAATTAAAACACAAATCATTTTTTCATAGAAATAAAGCTCACAAATTCTTTGGAAAATAAAATTAGAAAAGCATTTTGAAACATGAAACAAAAATGAGTTACCATATAGAGATGCGGTCCTTGGGATAATCCAGTCTCTCAATACATCCCAGAAAATAGGAAAGACTGTGTTCAGCGTTACGGGCCAAAACCGCAATGACTACTTTGGGTTTGAGTAGAGATGTCTCTTGCAGAGCAGGCTCCAGGTCAATGAGTGTATGAATAAAGCAGGGCCATGTCTGTAACAGTAACAGTCCAAACAGAAGCTTTCCAGATGCTCTTAGGTCCGCCATAGTGTCTGAATGTGCAGAAGCATGCCGTACTATAGGACACCAGTGAGAGAGGCGAAGACGCACTGACTGGGGAGGTTTGAGTGTGCTCAGCCTATATACGCAAGTGGACTCATTTGAGTGTAAAAGAATAGCATTCACTTAGGTGCAAATGAATGAATAAATAAAAAATTTTAAAAAAATTAAAAAAAAATATATATATATTAGTGCACTGCACCCTGATCATTTTCATTCCTAATCATTCCATCAATGAGCATGTGTTATAAGGCACAAATTCAACCCTCCAGCTAAAATGTTATAAAAATTGTTTATATTTAAGGGCTGGATTAACCACATGGGCAATTGGTTAAAAAATAATGCAAATTTCTGTTGGGAAATATATATATCATGTTTTTTTTTTATGTTATACCTTTTATTCAATGTTCAAGTGTTATAGTTTAGTGTCTATTATCGATAGTCAAAAAATTTGTACAACATGATTCCATATAATATGACGGTCACACTTTAGATTAGGGTCCAATTCTCACTATTAACTAGCAATTAACTTTTGCCTTAATAAACCATTTCTGATTATTAAAAGTAAATTAATCCTGTTATAGGGTAATAATTAAGGGATGTAGAATATGGTCGTGCAGAATAAGGCATTAATATGTGCTTTATAAGTACTAATAAACAACCAATATCCTAGTAATATGCATGCTAATAAGCAACTATAGTGAGAATTGGACTGCACAATGTAGTTGCATTTATGAAAACTGGCCAGCAGATGGAGAAAGTGACATGTCTTTAAAAGTATCCTTCTGATTGGAATATCATACGACATTATTCTTAAAGTTTCGTTCATATGTATACTGTCTTAAGTATTCAGATTTTCTTCATGTATGGAAGACCTACAGTATGACATGCTTCTTTTGCTAAAATGTGTAGCAAACACATTACACTGCGTGAGATACTGTATCCCAAGATGCAATGCACTTAAACTTCTATTTTCAGTGTGATGAATGATGTCATGTCATGTTTGTCATGTCTGTACAGTTTAATGTGCGGGACTTGCAGTCAGTTATTTAAGCTAATTAGTAATTAGCTTATTAAAAGAGACAGTTCACCCAAAAAAGAAAATTCTCTCATACACTTATTGTCACGTTTTCTTTAGTTCAGTTTTGCGTTCTTGTTTCCCCCTGTCTTTGTGATTTTTGGTTCAGTCCTGTAAGTTTTCCCGGTCTGTCTAATTAGTAATCCCCATCACCTGAGTTCAGTTAATTATCCCGTTAGTCCACGTTCATTTAAGCCCTGTGTTTTCCCTCAGTGTTTGTTGATCGTCGTCGATGTATGGTTGTGTGTGTCTTGAAGTCCTGGAGTTTGTTCATTTGTTCCTGTATGTTTTTGGAAGTTTAAGTTTGTAAAATAAATCTCCTAAACCGTAGCTACCGTGTCCTCGTCTTCAGCTACCTGCACCCAAACCTGACACATGGTTACAAACCTGTTTTACTTCATTTCTTGAGCATAAAATAAGATATTTGGAAAATATCTCATTTTATCCTTATAATGGAAGCCAAAATCTGTTTGGTTACCGACATTTTTCAAAATATCTTCTTTTGTGTTCCACGATGCAAGACCGAATTAAAATTTTTGGGTGAAATATCCATTTAACATATTACATGCACAAATATCTTTAATTTGGTATTTTGTATCAGCATAATGCTTGTGTTGTTGACAGCTTGTTACTTTATTTTGCTTCCATTTTCAAGGTAGCAATCCTCCCATCCATCCATCCATCCATCGACAACGAAAATCATTACAATTATTAAAAAAGACCAAGTGGCAAGTATTTTTAAAAACCCACATGTTTTAAATGTTTTATTTATTATTGCTCTGTCAACAAAACATTGCAAAAAAACAAACATTTTGGATTTCTTAACCCATGACTGAAGAACAGTACTGTGTTAAAGTCATCTCAGTCAGCGCTTTGTAAACTTTCCTTTATTTTGATGTTATCTGTATAACTCCACGCTCTGTATTTATAGCCTCTCAATTGTATCAGTGCTTGATCCAGGAATGTGGAAGGATTCGGATCGTGGCTTTGCTGTCACGGGTCATGAGGCGTGTAACCTGATCTAGGGTCAGTCCAGCAATGATTTCTCCATTGACTTCTAGAATCTCATCTCCTACACCCAGAAGTCCAGTGTAGATGTTCTCTGTGGTACTGTCTCCGACCCGTTCCACATATATACCTATAAAACCAGCATAACAGATTTTGATTAAAGACCTTTAAATGCTTTGAATACTTTCATACATTATACAGGGTTTGGGTGTCATGATGTGGGGGGAACTAACCTGAGTCTGGTCTTCCTTTACCCCTAGAGATGACAAAGCCAAAGGGTCTATTGTTGGCAGGTCTGATAAGCTCTATCAGTATAGTCCCATCAGGAAAGGCCTGCACCAGCCGCCCTAGTGGACCTCGAGAATCCTGTAGTGCCTCCTCTATGCTCTCTTCCTTTTGGAGCTGCCTGGAACTCAATCAGAAATTTGGCATAGCCAATATGGTTTAACAGCAGAATCAGAGTTTACATATCTGAGGCATGAAGTATGCATTTAAAGTAACCATGAAATAGAATATTGCAGTACTTGTTATAAATAATTGATCCATGCACATCATTATTTTTTATACACTTTTTTTTTTTTTTTTTTGAAAAAAAGAAAAGACTAATCGCAACTTCCATTTCATGCCGACTTTAATACTAAAAATGTATAGAGATTGTATCACATTTAATATTACACACCTTGGTGCCAAACTCAATGGCAGTAGTACCTCTCCTAATATAGTGGAACGTTCAAACTTCCTCTTCGGGGACTGTAGACTCTGGACAGAAGATGCTTTACGTAACTGAGCCAAAGGAGACTCCTGGTGGCAGACAGAAACACTGAAGCTTTAAAACACTGTCTTTCTAATGAAAAAACATATGTAAATAGCAACAACTGACATTTTGATAAACTTGGATTTTACTGACATGTTCAAACATCTGACATTACATGGGTATTATAGTTTTAAAAACTTCTGTCATCATTCACTCCCACTCATTTCGATCCAAACCCGTAAGACTCTCGTTCTTCTTGAGAACACAAATGAAGATCTTTTTGATGAAATCTGAGAGATTTCTGTCTCCATTGACCGCTACGCAATTACCACTTTGACGCTTCAAAAAGTTCATAAAGAGATCGTAAAACTAATTTATATGAATTGAACGGTTTAGTCCAAATTTTGAAGAGACTCAATCACTTTATATGATGAACAGATTTAATTTAGGCTTTTATACACATAAAAACATTGATCAACACACATCAGATTTAATAAACATAAGCTCAAGCTAATTCACTTGACATGCGAGAACCAATGAGGTTCATTCTCGTGTTATGCAGCACGTTTGAGCTTCAGCAACAAGAACCAATGAGGTTCATTCTCGTGTTACGCAGCACGTTTGAGCTTCAGCAAGAACCAATGAGGTTCATTCTCGTGTTATGCAGCACGTTTGAGCTTCAGCAAGAACCAATGAGGTTCATTCTCGTGTTATGCAGCACGTTTGAGCTTCAGCAAGAACCAATGAGGTTCATTCTCGTGTTACGCAGCACGTTTGAGCTTCAGCAAGAACCAATGAGGTTCATTCTCGTGTTACGCAGCACGTTTGTGCTTCAGCAAGAACCAATGAGGTTCATTCTCGTGTTACGCAGCACGTTTGAGCTTCATCAAGAACCAATGAGGTTCATTCTCGTGTTACGCATCACGTTTGAGCTTCAGCAAGAACCAATGAGGTTCATTCTTGTGTTACGCAGCACGTTTGAGCTTCATCAAGAACCAATGAGGTTCATTCTCGTGTTACGCATCACGTTTGAGCTTCATCAAGAACCAATGAGGTTCATTCTTGTGTTACGCAGCACGTTTGAGCTTCATCAAGAACCAATGAGGTTCATTCTCGTGTTACGCAGCACGTTTGAGCTTCATCAAGAACCAATGAGGTTCATTCTTGTGTTACGCAGCACGTTTGAGCTTCATCAAGAACCAATGAGGTTCATTCTCATGTTACGCATCACGTTTGAGCTTCATCAAGAACCAATGAGGTTCATTCTTGTGTTACGCAGCACGTTTGAGCTTCATCAAGAACCAATGAGGTTCATTCTCGTGTTACGCAGCACGTTTGAGCTTCAGCAAGAACCAATGAGGTTCATTCTCGTGTTACGCATCACGTTTGAGCTTCAGCAAGAACCAATGAGGTTCATTCTTGTGTTACGCAGCACGTTTGAGCTTCATCAAGAACCAATGAGGTTCATTCTCATGTTACGCATCACGTTTGAGCTTCATCAAGAACCAATGAGGTTCATTCTTGTGTTACGCAGCACGTTTGAGCTTCATCAAGAACCAATGAGGTTCATTCTCGTGTTACGCAGCACGTTTGAGCTTCATCAAGAACCAATGAGGTTCATTCTCGTGTTACGCATCACGTTTGAGCTTCAGCAAGAACCAATGAGGTTCTCTTGCATCAAGCAGGTTTGGTTGGGCTTCTGTTTATGGTCACTGATCAATGTTTAAATCAGCCCAGTCTCATCCCAAGACGTCATATGACTGACGCTTTTGACCATACGTCAACATCCGACGTTTTAGGGTACCTTTTAACGTCAGTTAGATGACGCTATCTAATCCTAACCCTACCCCAGACCTAAACCTACCCGCATCATCTAACTGACGCTAAAGGTAAAGCATCAGTTAGATGACGCCCTAGGATCGTCATCTAACTGACGTTAAAGGGTACCCTAAAACGTCTGATGTTGACGTATGGTCAAAAGCGTCCGTCATATGACGTCTTAGGATGAGACTGTGTTATTTATATCTGAATAATATAAAATATCTCTATTCATATGGATTTTTTTTTTTACAGTCTCTTTATGAACTTTTTGAAGCGTCAAAGTGGAAATCCTCCAGTGTCAATTGAGGAACAGAAATCTCTCAGATTTCATTAAAAAGATCTTCATTTGTGTTCAGAATATGAACAAAAGGCTTTGGAATGACATGAGGGTGATGAATAATTAATGACAATATATATATATTTTTTTGTGAACTAACCATTTAAGTACTTTTATTACAGAGTGAATCAGGAAAACATGTCATTTTTCACACCAAAATAAATAAATAAATAAATACACTACTGTTCAAAAGTTTGTGGAAACCTTTTTTTTTTTTAAATGAAGTCTCTTATGCCAACCAAGGCTGCATTTATTTGAGCAAAATACAATAAAAACAATGAAATATGTTTTACAATTTAAAATAAATTTTTTACTTTTATATATTTTAAAATACATTTTATTTCTGCAGTGGAAAAGCTGGATTTCAAGCATTCTCAAAAGTACTGTAATACAATCAGATCAGCATACATACAAATACTAGCATGGTGCATACACACACACACACATATATAATAGCCTATTATGTTATTGTTTTTCACATAATGAGTATTGGGGGAGGAGGTATAGGTTAGGTATTAGGTGACCCAGGTAGGTTTTTGCTATATTCTTCCTATTAATATAGTATAGACCCGACAAACGACGAATCAACATGTCCAGTCTATGAAAACAAGCAGCGACCAATGCCAACAAAACCCAATGAACGTGTCTGTTGCCCACGGCTGGCTCTGTCAGTGTCAAATAGCCTTTAGTATCCTATACTATCCTATATTTATATTTTCTATAACCAATTTGCCTCAATTAATTTCAGTAAACATGCATCTAATGTCAACTTGCCTCCATAAATAGAATACATTTGCTTCTAGTTTGTTCTGTTCGGTCCACCAGACTGATCAAAGTGTGTTGTTACATAATTCTGCAGATGTATTAAGGTCAGCAAACCACATGATAAGTTTTTCAATTTCATTAAACAAAGCCAGAGCTACAGTCCAAATGATCTCTCATGATATTGCAAGGTTGTGTGTTATTGTAGGTGCATTAACTCTTTAACAAAGAAGTGAACTCACTGTGTGGAGAGACTGGAGAGAGGGGGTCCTCTTCAGAGGGACCAGGCCTCTGTGTGTAGGGCTAGGGGAGGCAGAACTGTAGCGGGCATTGGGGGAACACAGGTGCTCCATGCTGTTGGACCGGCTGCCCTTTACCAGCTTGCCCATACTGTTCAGTCCCATGGCTGAGAAAAAGCGACGGAGGGATAACTTAGGCCTCCCTTCTCGCTCCCCTGTTCTCCTACACAAAGAAGTGGTGGAAGAAAATCACGAGTGCTGTAAATGACTGTAAAAGCACTACCAATTTATCTTGTGAAGTAATCTATTTATCATCATAAGGCTTAGAGTCTGTTCAACTCAAACTCTGGTGCGATTGCTCTGTTAGTGTGGTTTAAATAACGGTCCCTGGTGCGCACCAAACAAGCGGACCCAAACCGCTGAAAAGATGGGTCTTGGTCTACTTTCAAACAAACTCTAGTGCAGTTCGACTGAAATATGAACACAACATGAAACCATAGACATCAAAATGAACCAAAAACAGGACATGACGTCACAAGATGCGACCCTAAAAAGGACAGAATGCATATCTTTTTTCTCGCCATAGGAGCTACGGTTGCCCATTACAGTTAATACAGGCGTCGGAACCACATCTCCTTGCAGCAGTTATTAGTTTGTGAGTATTACGGCGTAATTCCTGACACTGTTTTGACTCTGTTACACATTTTATAAGCTCTTCACAAGTTCTCAGAATGTAAAAATACACTGTTCAAAATTGTACTGTGAAATTACAGTATATTCCAGGTTAATACATGCATTACTTTCACAATAATTCCACAGTATGGCAAGGCAAGACAAGTTTTTTTTTCAGAGGACTTCCCTTGTATCTAACTGCACTCTACAGTTTACCACGATATCATACTGTATTTCTACATTGCATATGTACTATGAAGATTTATGTACTACCACAGTACCCAGCATGCAGTGCGGCATGAATAGATTATGCTGTGGAGTTTCTTGATTCTTGTTGGTTTTATTTGTGCTGCTGAACTTATTTTTTGTTCACTTTAGCAGTTTGTGTTGATTATTTTGTAATGTTCAGAAATGATCTTTATTATTATTATTATTATGTTTTGTTGTGTGTCACCATTGTTGTGTGTTGTATGTCTTGTCGAGTATATGTTGCAAGATGATGTCACCTTTCAAAGATAAATCTCAGCAACCGCTTTGCTATTGTGAAATATCAATCTCCAAACAATTTTGAATTTGAAATAAGATATTGGTAAATATTTAAGCTGAAATAACGCTGATAATAGTATAGTTTGACTAACCTTAAATCAGCCAATTAGCTTATTTTATATTCTAGCTTGTCATTGTTTTAACAAATGTTTTAACACTTCTGACTTAGCTAGATCATAAATTAAAATATGAATATACAAGAAAACACTAATCACCATTATGGTACATCTAAACTATTACAGCACTAAACAATATAATTTCTTACAGTGGCATAAAGACAACTTTATAATGTGAATTCACAGTAAAACGAGAGCAGTTAATAACTGTGATGGCAGCATCTTTTTGCTGTTGATTAACAGAAATTCATAAGAAAATAAGCCAGATGCATTCATTTCACTGTAAATTTCTGACTACAGTCATTTATTGTAAAATAATTATCTTTAATCCTGTAAATACAAACCCCCGAGTCCAAATTATGTGATTCACAGTTAATAACCGAACTCAGACCACCTCATACTCCCACTTCCACATGACAGCTTTCACATTACCAAGTTTTCATTCAAACTGTTCCCTGTTACTAACTAAACAACAAGTGTGATTTTTTTTTAAATTTGTTTAACCCCTCTTCCCAGACCCCCCATTTTGGCAAGTGGGGCATAAATATCATACCCAACAGTTGAAAGTTTATAGTTCAAGACTCAGAATTACTCAGACTATTATTAATATGGAGATACATAATCTCAAACATAAAAATAAATAAGACAAATATTAAGAAAAATATATTAAAATATGATTTGGCTGTGTTGTAGAAACTTAGAAATACGATGAAGCTGAAGCCACAAGTCTGCTCATGCTTCATTTCAAATCTGAGGATATTATCTCTAAAACTATGATTTTTATGAAACATTTTCTAAGACCATGTAGCCTATATGTAAGTTTTTAAGGAAGGCTGATAAGATGCAAATAAAATGTAAACACCCACTTGCACTCTATTGTTTATGTCTGGTTTATGTCTGTTTCTTTTGTTCTCACTCGACAAACCTTTCACACTTCTGCCGGGTATGAAACCTAATCTTTACTCTTTTATCATTTTTCTTTTGTTTTTATTCAGAGGCTATTAGCCTTTATTCTGGGATTACATGGCTTGCCTATCTACACCACTTTGATCTTACTATACATTAATCTACATATTATCTGAAGTTTTCCTAGAAAACAACAAAAAAAGCATATTCTTGGGAGCTTATGTTAATTATTTTAACGGAATTCAGGAGCATTAGAGCTACAATTAGCATCTAGCTACATAACACAATTTAAAAGATTAAGTTTAAACCGCCATTGAGTGTTTGTAATAACTTCCGATTGTGATCTAATGTGGATTTTAGTCAAATAATGTTGTTGAAATATGTTATTGTGCGTGTTTTTATTCTATTCAAGTTTCCTATTGATTATTTTACACTTCTGACATAAATTAAGAAATTAATGTCACTGCAACCGAGTTTCATCATAAACAGTGGACAAATATCGAAGCTGGAGTCTTAAATCTTTCTAATGATACACAGTTTGTCCCGATCAAGTAAAAGCGTGATCTTTTAAAGTGCAGTGAATGTAAACAACAATAATCTGGGGCCGCTGGCAATGCAGTGCAGGTTAAGGAGTCTGGTAGGGTCGCTGACTGCTCGCAAATGCAAATGTACTGTCACACCACACATTGGGCAGTTATTTTCAACCAATCCATTTATAAGGTAACTTTAAAGCTGCAGTCCGTAGCTTTTTTTGGATTAAAAATGATCCAAAATACATATTTGAGAAAATACATAACCAGCAAGTGTTCAAAACTCTCTGCTTGCCTTAGCTCGATTCAAAACGGTAAGCTTGTAATAATGTTTTTAATTCCAGTGGTACTGGTGGATTTCCGCGGGAGATTCGAGCATGTCTTTGCGTCATTACGTCACATCTGCACACACACATCTGTACACATACATCTGTACACACACATCTGTACACATAAAGAAGGAGTCTCGGCTAGTAGGCTATATTGCGTGTGAGGATGTCGGAGGTGGAGATTTATAGCCTTTTCTCACAGCACTTGATATAATTAAACTTATCAATTTGATGGCGGATCCAGAAAGGTTCAAACGACAATAACCAGTGACAGCAGATTCACCCGCTGTAAAATGCAAAAGACTTTGTTCGGACTTCGGAGTGGCTACAGAAAAAAAGAGACTGCAACCGGACCCATGCGAAAACAAGGATACATATTGGAAGGACATTACATGTAGTCACGCAATTCTTACGTTGTTAACATTAACAATTTGAGAACAAAGTATAATTTGCACGGTTTTGCGTGATATGATAACTTATAAGCTAAGATTTAATCAGCGCGATTTACTGCAATGTCAGAACTAGAGCAAAAGTGGATGTTTCTTACTTGTTCAGAGGACATTTTCCGGTGAAAATTCTTATGTTGGTCATTCTACCAAAAAGAATAATCTGTGATTCTGAATGCCATCCACACCGGCGCGGCGACTGACAGCCTCACAGTCTCCTCAAACATTGTGTTCATCCGCGCTGTGCCGTGTTGAAGTACAACTCACGTAAAGTTGATAATTCCGAAAAATGACTGCAATTGCAGATTTCGAACAGAGATGGCGACAAAGAGGAAAAACGCCGGACTGCAGCTTTAAGGAAACTCCTTCAGGTGAGTTTGACCTCTTTAGGAACCTTTGTGTACTATGATTCAAATGTAAACCTATAAAATCTGCAATTAGCTATAGCCCATAGACAGGATTACACATTGTCAAGTAAGGAATCTCTTATGATGTAGCTTACCTAGACACAGCTAAACTGTCATCCCAATGTATTTCAGCTTTGCGGTGCTCTGCTCTCAGAAGTTCTGCCCTCAGGTCTTCTGCCTTGGACATTCCCATAGCTCTCAAAGCTGGGTGGCAATCTGAGGAAACAGGAGCTGTGCAAATGCTTCTGGGATCCATACAGACAACCTCACTTACCAAATGATCTGATGCACAACAAATGAATGAGCAAACCACGTTGGAGTTGAAATCAATAAATCAGTTCTGAATCAGGTTATTTGTAAATCTGTTGTTCATTTAGAGGCAGTGTCTCACTAGCTGTTTTTCAGGCAATTTTCAATTGTATGCTTAATTTACATGGTTGATAGAACACAGAAAGAAAAGCATCTAGGTTTCAGCTTAAAATTGTTAGGTCTGACATCCTGGACTAGTGGTTTTGAGTTGGCTAGTGGGATGCCACATTTCATCATTTGAGATCTTGTTTCAAGTAAACTTACCAGTGACTGGGTCGCCTGCAGAGTCCCATATTGTCAAAGCCTGGAGGTCTGTTGTCAGCATAGATGAGGAATACCTGAGAGAGGATGGTCTGTTGCAAGACGTCAGTCCTGAGGTGACAGGAAGAACCTGAGGGGAGGCACTGAGAGTGACACTGAGGTGCTCATCAGGTTGTATGTTTTCATGGTGAGAGCCTCCATCAAGCTGGTGGTCAAGGTGAATTAAACGGTACTGAACTGAGGGCATTAGCTTGACCACCCGTTGCCCTGTCGGACGGCTTTTAGATCCTGATTTTAGAGCCGATTTGATGGGGAGGTGAGGAGGAGAGTCCCTGACATTGCTGGAGAGATCCTTATTCTCATGGTCAGGTGAGGTTTCTGTAGTGCCTTGTGCAGACATCTTCCGAACTTTAGAGCGAGTAGATTGATCCTCCAGACTTGACCTGGTTTTGGAGTTCCTTCTCTGAGCCCATAGATCCTGACTTCGAGCATAAGGTCCATTACTGGTTTCGCCTCTGCTTTCTCCTTTCCTGCTCCTTCTTCGAAGCTTCCCAAAAGCTGACGTGCTCTCACCTGCACCTCCTACACCTCCCCGCCCTACACTTTCTGCCAGGCTGACGCCTCCACTAAAAGTTATACTTTCCATGAGGGTCGGGTGGATGGTTTGGCGACATGATTGGCTAGGACTGACCCATCGAGGGACTGCCTTCTCCCGAGAATCTACAATACTGTGTGTTGGCTTGGAAGGGCAATCTTTGGTCTGTGCAGGTCCCAAGAAGCTTCCACATGTTTCACATGTCCTGAGCATTTCGTCCTTTGGCACCATGGCAGCCAAACACTCTCCCTCTTTGGTTAATATGGCCACAGGAATACCAACATTTACCCAGTTTATTGCCTTGCCCCTGCTTTCCTCCTGAATATTGTACACCGGATCCCCCTTTAGCTGTTGGCTGGAGTGACATTTCTCAACCACCACTGGCCCACGTTCACGAACCCGCTCCAGGTATCGTCGCTCAGCCTCCTTTTCTGACTCGTCTTCGAAACGTACTCTTGTGGGCGACTGGCCATACCGACGAGAGCGCACCCCACGTTCATGGTTCCTTCCACGGACGTCCGGTGACTGAAGAGGTGAAATCACTTCCTCTTGAGCCGTGACAAGAACAGCAGTGTGCAGGGTGGATGACACACTGATTGGTAAGAGCTCCCTATAAAGCAGATACAAGAGCTTTTAGAGAACACCTGGAGATCTGCAATCACTGTCTGTATCATTTGATTATCTCTATTACATCACTCTTACATAATTGTCATTCAAACCTGATTTGAAACAAACAGCATTAATTTGAAGTACATAAATGAAGGCTTTTGATCAACTTTTATTTGTGTTCCAAGGAAACTGATTAATAAAAAATGCTTGACAAATATGTGTTATATGCAGTACATGTAATTATATAACACAATAACACAACTCTAAATGAATAGCTTAAATTATTATGTCTGTGCATCACAGGATATGGGTAATGACTTTAGATTGCATTGGATTTAGATTTAGGATTTAGGATTGCATTGGTTTTTTTCACAGTGATAAAATTAATGACTGTAATTCCCATGATGTTGGACAACAAGAAGGGAATTAAAAGGTGACTTACAGGCCTTCTCTTTGACCAAGGCAGGTGGGGGCTTCACTCTTAGGGTTTTGAGAACGTGCTTTGAATCGAGCTCTTTCTAACAAACGCTTTGCTTGTTCATGACGTGGACTGAGAGTTACTTCAGTGGTGGAGATCAGAGGTCTGTCCAAAACAGAAAAAGAATTTGACACTCTCCTGAGTAAATGAAATAATTATTCAAAACGTTTGATATGTCTCAACAGTAATCCAAACCTACAAAAGTACAACTTGTAATTGCATGTATGTGTACAATATTGAACATTAAACTGCCAATATTGATGATCTTTCACTATACTTTCCACAAATCCGAAATAAACATAGAATGCCAAAGCGCAAATCTGTTTTATATAATCTCTATCATGGGCATGTCATGTGCATGCCTTAATCTTAAAAAAGATGAGTGTCTTTCACATGGATTTGTGTTCTGGCAGAGGTCTACAACAGCTAAGTGCAAATGAACAGCCGTATTCAATAATGTGCTTGATTGAGTGCGATGTCTCTTACCTATAGTTAAACACAGGCTCTTTTGCGATAATTGCTGAGTCCCAATAATCTACTTTGTAGGGAGGTAAATCTGTAAAAACAAAAAAAATAATGCTGTAAAATAATAAACTCAAGCACACAGATTTCAAAAACCCAGCTGATACGTGATATAATTTGAATAAGTATTTGAAACTTGCAACAAATTAATATGATTTTGGTCATCCGCCGCAAGACTGGACTCAATATCACATAATTTCTCACTTACAACATAAGGGTGCTATGTGCAACACACTGAACCGTTATTCTGTAGCCTTCTGATCCAGAGAGCTCAGCCTGCTGTTACACAACATTCCGGAAAACCAAGCCGGCAGATTTCAGCCTATCCCTACGTCGTACGGTATTAAAACACTATTATCTCCACTGCTCCACTCTCCCCCAAACCCTTCCCCCACATCTGTAATTACGGTGACAGGCAGGCACATCTGTTCTGAGAGATCATACTAACCTCCCTTCTGTGAGTTTTGGCTCAGTGACCCTCGAGTGTCTAATGCTGGTTAAATCACGTATACAGTGAAAAACGGCACAAGGCAATTAACGGAACCCAAAATAAGAAGACATCAGGATCCAACCAGCTTTGAACATTTCTCTAAATATCTTCTACTGTGTTCCACAAAAGAAAGAAAGTTACGACATGAGGGCGAGTAAATGATGACAGAACTATTCCTTTAAGCCAAGGTCTTACCTCTGTGTGTCTCTTTTGGTGGTTGATACTGTCCCTCTGGACGCATGGAAGTTGTGATCTCAATTTCCTCAACTTGATATTGGTTAAGGTATGTCTTGTTCATCTCGACTTTCTCTGCAACAGACAAAGACCCTCCTCTGGAGCACACAGTATCCCAACTGTCTGCCTTCCACAGCCCACCAACTGGATCTGCAGCTCCAATCTCCGTCTGGAGACACCTATGAAAAGCACTTTCCAAGCTGTCAGACCTTTGCAACTCCTTGTGAACAAGTGCACCCACGGTTTTTAGTTTTGGCTTCCGTTTTGGACCCTCTTCAATTGTGGGAGGTACATCTTTTGCAGTTGCCAGTGTGGAGGAACTCTCTGAATTAAGAAGTAGCGTCTCTGGTCGTGCCACTCGCCAAAAGCCCTTGGGAGGAGCCCAGTGCCTGGAAGAAGACGTCATCGACTTTGATGCAGTGTCACCTTGAGGTTCACCAGCACCACCCACTGCAATGTTCTCCAGGCTAGACCCTTCACAAAGCCCACGGGACAATTCTGGCACACCTTGAGATGGGCTGCCTTTCCCACTTTTGCTGCAAGTCTCCTTTTCTCCTTGCATCCCAGAGTTGGGTTCCAGCACTTCTTGCACAGTGCTTGACTTATTGCTCTGCTCGGTGTATTCTGTTTGACAAGGAGAAAGCACTTCATCGTCTTGGGGTTTCTTCACTGACCCTTCTGTGGAATCCTCTGGTAATAGATCACCTCTCTCCGCCGCCTTTAACCTTCTCTGGGACACTGCTTTGACTTTAGATTGCAGGGCAGAAACTGCTGAACCTATTGCTTTGGATTTCAATAGATCAGTGGAGGGTCCACTTTGAGGGTCATCTGCCACACTCCTTATTGGATGTGTCCCAGAGAGATCCTCTGTCTCCTCCTCCATTCTGCAATTAAGGGATACTTTAACAAGAAAATGCCAACAAGATAAAGCAGACAGAGTCGCTGTTCAGGGATTCCATGTTAGTAGATTAAATATTTTTTGAATCCCTCTTACGCACACCATACTATGTAAGAGTTTGCATAACACCAATACTTTCAGTGTTAGATTCCCCACACCAAGCTATCTGAAATTAGTGCAAGTTCGTGACGAGGATACACTCTCTTGAAGATAATGACAAATATCACAATGGATGCATGGTGAATTCACCTAAAATTAGTACCTAAAATTAAGTTATAAAAAGTAAGATATTGCAAAATTTCTGTTTAGGCAAACCATGATACAAATAAAATACAGATAAGATTTATGTAACATTGTTTATTTATAGTAATACAGACTGTGATGGAGGATAATAAAAAGAATATATTTATTATCATTTTATATTGTATATAGGTCATTACATTATTACATGGTATTGTATACTATTATATACTGTATAACAATCTTACCTTAATCCTTTCACTGATGGTCCATTTGAGTCTGTTACAGTTCATGCAGAATCATCCCTGCCTCTCTTTTAATACTTGAATGGCCGAAAACAAGAACAAATGTCACCCGTTGAAATGAGGAATTACTCCCATGATGCTCCTCTTCGTTCAGCTGTCACCAGCACCTATCACTGCGCATCCCCTGGCGGTAGATTCCATCTGTAACCTATGAGCGCTCGCTCAATATTCATGATTGGTCTGTTAATCCCTGCAGAAATCAGACGGATTAGACAAAAATGGAAAATAAATGCGTACTTTAATTCCTTTGATGTCAACCGTAGCATTTCATTGCATAAGTTGGTACAATTCACAGAAGCAGTATTTAAAAAATGCTCTCAGTATGTAAAGGTCAAGTGTGACAGAACAAGTATTTTGAGAGATGCTACTGATTGCATTGCAGTTGTGCAAAAAGATAATCTATACCTGAGAACTTTGAAAATTTCCCAGTGTTGAAAAATACAACATCAAAAATGAAACGTACTAGAGGATTGTTTTACGATCCTGAGGATCTATTTTTTATGCATGCAACATACGCACAACTCATGAAGACTGCCTATGCACACCTTCTTACCCCATTTGTATACGATATGCCATCCAAATCAATCTGTCAATATATGAAACTATGAGTTAGCCATATTATGTGAGCTGATTTGCCCAAAAAGTGTAGCTGCAAAAAAGTCTTTCTCAAATATCTTTGCAGGAATGTGGACTAAACATTGGAAATTGTCCACAGCGAAAGAGAGAGAGAGAGAGAGAGAGAGAGAGAGAGAGAGAGAGAGAGAGAGAGAGAGAGAGAGAGAGAGAGAGAGAGAATGCTAATGTGAATGTGAACATAAATGATGACAGTTGAGAGAAGAGAAATAATCACAGTGTGACAACATTATTACATCTGAACTCTGTCTATGTGAAAAAGTGTGAAAACCATCATGATTAAAAATAATAATAAATAAATAAAAAGCAACAGATTCACATGGAAGTACTGTACATTTCTGTCACATAAGGGGATAAAAAAAAGTAAAAATTATGACATTACATTTATTTTTTTGGGGGTCAATTTCAACATTTTATTTATATCTCATAAATAGAGTTTATGTCATAATAAAGTCTGTCATTAATTATGACATCATGTCAAAATTTTGACTTATTTTTTAAAGTCATTAAAAAGTCATAGTTAAGATATAAAAAGTCATAATTATGATTTGGTTTGTTATTGCGACCTTTCATGTTGTAATTTCATAATTGTAGACGGTCAGTATTTCGTGTTTTATGTCAATTTCCACCTTCATCTTATAAATTTCACAATTTCGACTTTTATCTCATAATGACTTTGGATGTCAAAATTTCCATTTTTATGTTCCAATTGACTTTTATGCCATAATTATGACTTATGTCATGTCTTTTTATCTAATAAATATGACTTAGTTTGCCGTAATTTCATATGTTTATGTGATAATAGCATACTTTTATCATAATTTCGACTTTCATCTGAATAATGACTTTCTATGTCATAATTTCGACTTTCATGTTCGAATAATGACAGTTAGGCTGTCATAAATATGACTTGGTAGGTTAGAATTTCGACTTTTCATCTAATACTTTTGATTTGTTGTCAATTTTTTAATCGGATAAACATAATTGTGACTTTTTCTAATAAATATGACTTTTCTGTCATAATTATGACGTAGTCATACGTAATTTCATAATTGTAGACGGTCATTATTTCGTGTTTTATGTCAATTTCCACCTTCATCTTATAAATTTCACAATTTCGACTTTTATCTCATAATAACTTTGGATGTCAAAATTTCCATTTTTATGTTCCATTTTATGTTGACAACATGATGGTTTTCACACTTTCACATTTTGACCTTCCTTATAATTATGAATTGTATGCCATACTTAGTTTTTATGTCATAGATCGATTTGCCCAGGCATGCTTTTATTGTGTGTGTGTGTGTGTGTGTGTGTGTGTGTGTGTGTGTGTGTGTGTGTGTGTTTTCAGCGCGCTGCTCGGCCACAGGGGGCGCCCCGCTACTCATTTACTCATTCTTCTCCGCCTCGGTGAACTCGAGCGCTGCCTCTGCTGGTAGTTGTGCGCGAGGAACTCCCGAACTACTCCGGCAACCCGTTATAACGGTCGACATGGCGACCGAGGAAATAACCAAGCGTTTTCTTAAGAAAAGATGAAGATAGCTGATACTCAGTGAAGAATGAGCGAGTGAGTGTGCATTTGTTGTGTTGCGCCTGTGGGATATGCAGAACCGCGGGTTTTGCGTGTATTATGTGTTAGTTTCTGGGTGTGGACCGCACACGGCTGGCTAACGGCTAATCTGATAGCACGATTGCAGCATTTAGCCGCCCGGCTAGCCTTGTGTAGCTTCGGCTTGAGCTATTTTTCGGTCAGCGCGGGGGCTTAATCGGTGGTTCGTCCGTGCAACATCTAGTTTTTGACGTTGTCTTTGCCAGTAAATTTGATTTAAGCGGTGTATTCGATTGAAATAGCAATTTCGTTAGCCAGTTTAGCTTATTAGCTTAGGTTGCTAGACTGAAAGCTGTGTTTACACGGGCCTCCGTTTACAAAAATAGCTGTTTACAGTAATCCACGTGATTATGTATTTGCATCTATGCTTACCACATGTCACGATTCCGCTGCAGTGTTTTGACAGTTGGCTGGATAATAATCCAGTGTTTTGGTCAGGTTCAGTGGTTGCTGTGTTACATAATCGCGGGATATCTTGAGGTTTAGCATAACCAGATCGTATATTTCGCATTTATAATCTCTCAATCTCACATCAGCACAAATTTGAGTCTGTTTAATTATTTGTCAATGCTTACAATCCCTGTTATGAATTAAAAGAGGGCGTATTTGGTGCTAGCGTATTCAGCCCAGATAGACACAAGAGCCAGCGAACATTGTGTTAGCTTGATAGCTAATTGAGATTGGACAGTGGAGAACACAAAATTAATCTGTTAATCAATGTGGATTATTTGTGCCAGGTAACTTAAATGGGGTTAATTTTTAATACGTGTCTATCAAACGAGTTCATGTAGCGCTTATACTTTCAGATTTACTATATTAAGTTAAGTTTATTGACAGAGGAGTTAACGTTAGCTGAGGGTAGCCTGTGTACACCACAGGTGAATAGTCCAATTTTAACTAATAGATGTCGCCATACTTCCCCAACCGATAAATCACAATACTTTAATATCACTTTTTTTTTTTGTATTACTAATACTTTTTGTTTTTGTAGTGTTATGTTTAAACATGCTGCGTTATGTAATTAAAAATGCACTTATTTGCATACATTTCCAGCACACAAATCCGAACATGGGATAAAGCCTGGTTCATTTTGTCATATTAATGTTTTTACTGAGTGGATTTTGGATTTCATCTCTCTTTATCACTCCGTTTGTCAGAAAATACGGTCAGACAAAAATACATTTCCACCATGTTTTTAGTGAATAACCCCCTCTGTAAAAACCTCCAGAGTATAGATAGAAAAAAACTGTGAAGTGATAGTTCAACCAAAAATGAAAATGTTTTCATCATTTACTCACCATCAAGTTGTTCCAAACCTGTAGAGTTTCATTCTTCTGTTGAACACAAAAGAAGATATTTTGAAGTATCTGGTAACCAGACAGTTGACGGCACCCATTGACTTCCATAGTGTTTATTTTTTCTACGTTGGAAGTCAATGGCTGCCGTCAACTGTCTGGTTACCAACGTTCTTTAAAATATCTTCTTTCGTGTTCAACTGAAGAAAGAAACTCATACAGGTGTGGAACAACTTCCGAGTGAGTAAATGATGACAATTTTCATTTTTGGGTGAACTGTCCCTTTAATGTTTTTTGTATGTAAATGCTTCTGAAGTTGAGATTTCGGACACGACTTTTAAAGATAGCTATTGTTATTTAAAAGTCTACAGATGCAATTAGATAGTGTAATTAACACTTAAATGTGTATTTTGGATGTTTTATTTCCACTAGTCTGAAAGTAATGGAAGTAAAATAGCATGGAAAAACAAAAACAATGGTTTTGCCTGTAGTGTCTTGCCGTAATAGTCGCTCAATGTAATATTCCTTGACACAATTCTTTTCAGAAACTAGGAAAATACTCTTTAAAGAATGTATGTATTCTTATAATAAATGTTTAAACTAGTCTTGTTTTTAGTTTTCTCCTTTGTTTGGGTAGCAACACACAGTCTGCCCAAACAAACGTGGTTAAGCTTCAATAAGCCAGTCGGTTACTGTATTTAACTGCATAACTGTGTTGGTTAATGTGTATCATGACAGTAAAGATATATTGTTTCTTAATTTCCATATTTGTCAGATTATTCCTCAACGGCATCTCTTTTGTTCCAGGTTTCAGGTTTCACACCATGTGATGATCACCCGGGACGTGTGAACTTATTTAAGAACTCCTGTGTTCAGAAGATTTTTTGATTCCAGTGGAATCTTTCATCCCCCCCCACCCCAATCTATTATTTCCTTTTTGTTAAATGACACACCCAATCACACATACACCTGCACGCACACCCAGGAGAAGCGCCCTTGTTTACATGTAGAACAACCTCGCTACAATGCCTGTACAAGCTCCACAATGGACAGAGTTTTTACTGTGCCCAATATGCACCCAGACGTTCGAGGAGACAGTGCGTCGGCCCATCAGTCTGGGTTGCGGCCACACTGTTTGCAAGATGTGCCTCAACAAGCTTCATCGCAAGGCCTGTCCCTTTGACCAGACGGCCATCAACACCGACATCGAGCAGCTGCCCGTCAACTCGGCCCTTCTGCAGCTGGTTGGGGGTCAGGTGAGGCATTTCGACCGATTTTACCACGCAGCGTAATCGTAGTCTTTCAGATCTCTCACTGTGTGCTTCATTTAATTAGTCTTTTTGTTTCAGGTGCCCAAACAGCAACCTGTGGCGCTCATTGCGTGCCCAGAGGACACCAAGCATTATGATGAGGCTCGGCAGTGCGTTGAGGAGTTGGCCCTCTACCTCAAACCCCTCAGCAGTGCACGAGGTACCTGACATGCTCTCATATGGTCTTTAAAGTAGTTACGTGCACTAAAATAAATGTTATTTAATTGAAAATCGGGAAAAAGTGTGTTTAATTGTTAATTATTGAATGGCAGGCATGCTACAATTTTTGTTCACACAGCAACAGTAAACAGCAGACTAATGCCGAGTTCACACTGCACTATTTTCAAACTCCTCAGATCACTGCTCTTTTCACACTGCACGACTATCTGGGTAGCATTCAGTTGCTGCTGTGTTCACACTGCACAATGGATCTGCGACAGGAGGTTACACATTGCATGCCTTTACTATAGGAAGAATCGACAACTCTGTCCGGTCCTCAAACTACTTTTCACAACCAAACACGCGTGAGAAGTGACAAGGAAATAACGCTAGATCACACGTGCTTGAGACCGGGATTGTTATTAAAAATGATAGACCGCAAGAAGCTTGCGATCCAAATCGTCTGGGCGCTGAAAAGGAGAAAAAGAAAAAATATTATGGAGGATATGGTTTGAGAGACACGGGCAGCAAGGATTGTGTGTTCTGCAAAGAAAGTTGGAGGTAAATAAATAATTTTCCAATGCGCTGCTGTTGCGGCTTTGTTTCTGTTTGATATAATTGTATATATATATATATATTAAGATACTGATATTCTGGTCTGTAACCGCTGCCCTGTATCTTACTCTCTCATTGGCTGCAGGTGATCTGTAGTTTTCAGTCAGAACATATTTTACACAGCAGGATTTTGAATCGCCATTTAGCATGCCAAATATCTCACGGTTTAGATAATCAGCGATTATCTCAGATCGCGTCTTTGATAATTCATTCATTGATTGTCACTCCCGGGAACGAGCACTGATTTGCCTCTGGCATTTGTCGGCGATTTTGCAAATTCTGTCAGCAAGTGAAAAGCGTGCAGTGTGAATCGTCATAAAAGATTGATCTTGAGATTTAAAAGTCAATATTGGTTCAACATAGTGATGACATGTTTACCTGTTGGAGCTTATACATGTAACATATAGATGCTGACATGCTCAAAATGCATCATCTGAGAAGCCATACTTAAATGTCACTTTTTTGGCCCTCCAAAACCATTTCGGGAAAAGCCGCATTTTTTTTATTTTCTAAACCAATCATTTTTGGTTGCCAAAATTACAGTGCATGACTACTTTAAAGTCGCAATGTAACGTAAGTTACATAAATAACAACCACCGTCCATATATAGAAAGCAGATAGGGTGAATTTTCATTTAATGCCAACTTTAAGCCAGTATAATGGGCATGACCAAATCATTTTTTGAAATCATATTTTAGGAGTGGGGTTGAGTAATGCTGCTCAGAGCATGCTGAGCCGCCCCATGCAGAGGAAGCTGGTGACTCTGGTGCACTGTCAGCTGGTGGAAGAGGAAGGACGGGTCAGGGCCATGCGGGCGGCCCGCTCTCTGGGCGAAAGAACAGTTACGGAGCTCATTCTGCAGCACCAAAACCCCCAGCAGCTCTCCTCCAACCTGTGGGCTGCCGTGAGAGCCAGAGGTTGCCAGTTCCTGGGCCCCGGTAAGATGACACTTTAAAAACCTATTCACACCAACATAAATGTTTGCCACGGAAATTTTGATTTGATTTGTCTGTACAGTCCAGTGCATAAAAAAAAAAAAAAACATCCTAATGAATTCTTCCTCTGCTATATGGACCCTTTTCACATTTCCGGTGTTCTCAAACGGGGAAGTCGTCATAGTTGTGTATACTTCTGTTGTAGTGAATGGAAAAAACAACAAATATGGCTTTACAAAAAGAGGAAAAATATATTGAGAGATTGATTACCATGGTCAGAAGAGCAAATTTGCTTTTACTACCTTAGCTGTTGTATTTCCATGCCAAGTATAGTAATAGAACATGCCTAATAGAACACAAAGTATAGAGTTATCATTTATATTTATATATAATAATTTATTTTAGGTAGATTTCTGATTTTAACAACTGTGTAAACGCGTCATCACAGTCTGTGAAAAGGGTCTATTCATTGTCGCTTATCAAAATAGACTGTTCGTGAGAACCATCAAGTCAAATATTTATTGAATGGGATCAAAAGGATGAATCTTATTGGTCAGCTTTGTCACAGAGTGATGGAAAAGAGATTAGAACACCTCTCTGCAATTGTCCATGTCAGTCTAGGCAGATGTAATAATAGTTAAAAAATTAAGTTGCTTATCTCAACGGATTTTCACAGTGAATATTTGTCCTGGTGTTGTAGAGCTCTAGTGTCTTATTGTGTACCCTTTTTTTTTTTTTTTTTTTTTTTTTTTTTTTTTTATCAACAGCCATGCAGGAGGAGGCACTAAAGCTGGTGCTGTTGGCTTTGGAAGACGGATCCGCTCTTTCTAGGAAGGTTCTGGTCCTCTTTGTGGTCCAGAGACTTGAACCGAGATTCCCTCAGGCCTCCAAAACCAGTATTGGACATGTAGTTCAGCTCCTCTACCGTGCCTCCTGCTTCAAGGTAGTTGTCCTTTATTTTGCGCTCGATCTCACCCGAGCTGTTTACATGCATCTTACGAGTTTGTCTGCAGTTTTTCTTTTGTAATTCAGATCTGATGGGAGTTAATTAGATTTGTTTCTGTCTTTCAATGTGCAAATAATATTTTCATTACCATAACAGCTCATTTGCAATAACATTAACAGCTGCAGCTCAAGAGGTTTCAGTTGAGTCTCTTGTGAATCGTAGGTGACTAAGAGGGATGAGGATTCATCGCTAATGCAGTTGAAAGAGGAGTTCCGCACGTACGAGGCACTTCGGCGGGAACACGACTCTCAAATCGTTCAAATCGCAATGGAGGGAGGGCTCCGCATCGCCCCTGATCAGTGGTCCTCTCTGCTGTATGGAGATCAGTCTCATAAGTCACACATGCAGTCCATCATCGACAAGGTGTGACGCCCATCTGTCTGCATGGCTTGAGAATTCCGTGCATCCTTTCGAATTCCAGAAATGGTATTATGTCTCGGAATAATGGATGAATATGCTTCTCTTTCAGCTGCAGACCCCAGCGTCTTTTGCTCAGAGCGTGCAGGAGCTGACCATCGCCCTGCAGAGGACGGGGGACCCTGCCAATCTCAACCGGCTAAGACCTCACCTCGAGTTGCTCGCTAACATCGACCCCAGTCCAGGTTTGCTAAAAGACAGACAAACCCATTATGATGGACTGAGCATATTTGTGTTATACCAGTGGTTCTCAATTTTTATGTCGCACCCCCCTTTTAAATCAGTGTTAATTTCATTGACGAATAATTTTCATCAACGACATTTTTTTGCACAGACGAAAACGAGACGATAACTAAATAAACAGGTTTTAAATGACAAAAACTAGAATTGAGCTCTCTTTCGCGTCTGAATGGACAAATACACACAACTTTTTGTAAATATCAGTGTTGGACAGTACGTAAACCGTTGTGAGAATATCGGATGTGCATTTGGATCCAAACATTCGGTCTTAAAGTGACAGTGCGTTATAAACCTAATGCCGTCTGTGTCCTTAAAGGTGCTATATGTAACTTTTCTACTAAAATGAATCCTTTTTTTATTGCCTGTGTGTGAAGGGGTTGTAATCACACATTACAATGATCCACTTGTCGAGTTTTGCTATTACCTCTGAAGGCCAGTATTCCTATTTCTATGTGAAGTCTCCGGGTCGGATTTACCGCGCGAAATCCATCGGATGTGACGTGCATGCTCGCTCCCGAACGGCGATCCGGTAGGGGGCGTCCCCGAGGCCCGCCACTCTAGCGTTCGGGCAAGGGTTCCCCTGGCACCTTCTCCCCCGAATTTGAGCTCTCTGGGTCTTTGCGTTCCAGAGATACGAGCGATTTTCTTCTGAGATCGTGACGTCACCGGCGTCCGCAATTTTGCAGCGCACCCGATGGTTTTCTGCTAATATCTCTGCGAAAACACCACCAAAAATGATGGAACTTATATGGTTCTTTTCAGCTCGACTAGATGGTCCCAACGAGCTCGGTGCTCGCCGAATCCGTCAAGTATTCGCCGAGATATTTGCGTAATAGACGGTATTGTCTATGAGTTTGAGCACGAGCGCTCTTGTAAAAATTGGTTGCAATCTGAAACATCACCGCTAGAGGCCGCTAAAAGTTCCATAGAGCACCTTTAATATTAATGAAACAACAAAAGAAAAATGAAAGCATTCACTGCTCTTTAATAGCTTTAATAAGGATTCATTATATTTAATTTATACAAGTAAATATGTCTGCTTGAAAGAATAAAGAATGATGTATGAAGTTGTTATAAAGAATGCATATTGAAAAGAAGACCCTGTTCTACTTTAGGATTTAATTTGAAGATATTTATTTTATGTCACAGCAGTTAATTGTGTGTCTGTATTGCATGTTCAAACTTTAAAATCATTCATGATAACGGGTTAATGTTTTCTCCGGGAGTATATAATGGGTTTGGACATTTTAGAGAAATTTTTAATTAATGCATTACAATTTAACTAAACCCATTAGATTTTAGTCGACTAAATCTACTGTATCCCACTCTTTGATAACCACTGTGTTGTATTAAGATATTGAATTCCAGTGAATTAGAGCTGAGCGGTATGATGCATGCTTGCTCTGTTCTGTGATTTATTTTTGCTTTGATTTATCTTTATTCAGATGCTCCTCCTCCCACCTGGGAGCAGCTGGAGAAGGGGCTGGTGGCGGTAAAGACGGTGGTGCACGGCCTAGTGGACTTCATCCAGAACCACAGCAAGAAGGGCGCCGACACGCAGCAGCCTCCCCAGCACAGCAAATACAAGACATACATGTGCAGAGACATGAAGCAGAAAGGAGGCTGTCCCAGAGGAGCTAGCTGCACATTCGCTCATTCTCAGGAGGAGCTGGAAAAGTGAGTGACGTTGTAAAATCTTGCATGTCCGGTAAAAAAAACAACAACAACAGATGATAATGAGAATCTCTTTTGTTGTTTTTGCGTTACAGGTACCGTAAAATGAACAAACGTCTTGCTGCGCGAGTGCCCTGCACCCCTGGCCTGCTGCCTGAGGAGGTGATCCCGCTGGAGCCTGGGCGAAAGGCCCTTACCAACGGCATTGTTGCTGGTCCTGGGACGCCTCTTCCCCAGCTCATCCCCAGAGGCACAGACCCCTCCACGTATGAGCTCTTACTCAAGCCCAAGATGGATGGCTCTAGCCACAGTGCTCCTGGGTCGCCACCTGACTCGTAAGCATTTGATTTCGTCAACCTTGTTTGGCTTCTCGTTCCTTGCTTTTCTGTCATGACTTTAGTATCTGAATTCTTTTGACTCAATCAGCAACGGCAAGATGTTTTATTTTTTCCCAATTTCAGGTCTATTTTATTTATGTTTTTCAATTTTTTGTTAATTCAAAGTTAAATATTTTATTCTTCTCTTCTTCTTTCTCTTGCTGCTCCTGCCGCTCTTGAGTCTATGGCAGCCCATAGAACTGTAAAAAGTAAAAACTAGTAAAAACTAACAACTAGTAAAAAGTTGTGACATTTGGCACATTGATAGAGGACAGTCTGAACATTAACCATAGCAATTTTGAGTCTTTAACTGAATGTTTTTGCTCAACTTTTGAACCGTAATGACTAGAAACAATTTATTTTCTTCCGATTCCTTGGCTCAAGATGTTTCGATTGCACCCACTGATGTCATTTTCCAACATTTTTCCAACGTTCTGAATTTTCCAAAAAACCTATGTTCGAACTCCTCCTAGACCGATGCTCCGATTTTCACGAAAATTTAACCAGATCATCTTCCTACCATGCTGACACAAAAACTAAATAATTAAAGAAAATTCAAGTTGATTTGTCAAACGCCGAACGAATTCGACGAAGAGCATGTCAAAATGGGTGTGAGGCTACATCTCTGCTTATAACTTCTAAACAATTTGACCAAAAATCACGAAACTGGTTGAGATTTGGAGCAGCATGCCTATTGTAATGAAACAGGTCTCGATAGATTACTTGGGTCACGCCAAGACAATAGATACCAATTTTGCCAAAGTTGTCTGAATTTCCTGTTTATTATTATTTTGAGAGGTACATTTTTTTTTAATCCCAAAATTGCCAAATTCTATGACATTCCACATTAAAAGATAAATTCCATTTTTATGTAAGGATTCTGCGATTTTGTCCACGCATCACTGAATAATAGGGCCTATAATAGGTTTGGCTTTAACAGGAACAACATAAGTTTCCACTGACTCATTTCTGCCTCTTGTTTCTCTTCAGTCTGGATACATCTGGCTTGTCCCTGACACCCCACCCTGTGCCTCACCACAGGGCGGAGCACTTACCCATGCCCAAGCAGGTGCAAGTCGTGCCCAGAGGTGCGCCACAGATGTATCCGCAACAGCAGCCCGAGCTCTTCTATCCAGAGCCAGCCAGACCTGCCTCGGGATCTCAGTATGATACTCAGTACCCAGCAGGTGAACGCATTTGCTCATATGAATGGTTGTCTGAACAGATTACGAATATGTCATTCATTGGCTCCCGAGATTCTCGAAGGTCTTTAATGCCAGTTTTGCTACCCAGAGTTTCACCAAAAATTGATCGCTAAGACGTTTTCATCTGATACTGTGTCCTAACTAGATCGTATGACTTCAACAGATGAACTCTGGGTACTGCCGACCAACCAATCAAAATAAAATGTTAACATGCAGAAGATGCATGTTGCACTGAGTGATTAAGTGGAATATATATATATATTTTTTTACAGGACATCCAAGTTGATGACTGTGTTAGCTTGGGATTTAATGAATAGCTGTAAATGTTTGTTGAGGGAATTAGGCCCATCATAATTTTCAGTTTAATTGCAAATGTATTTATTTGTATAAACGGATCAAAACATTAAATGCTAAAAACTAAAATCAACCATTGTAAATGCTACAAGTAAATTTAAGCATCACAGCATTAAAATGTGCAGTATGCATAATGGATATTAATTTAAAGATTTGCTAAATATTACATTTAACAAGGTTATTAAATTAGTGTTTTTAAAGGTTTACTTTTGAATGAGTGTTAGATGGTTATATAAATGTAAAAAAAAATAATAGCAGAAATGACGATGAACAATTAAATGTCTAGCGTCGGCCGATATAATATATTTAAAAATATATTGGCTAATAACTGATATGTTACCAATTTATTGTACAATTTGTGACTAGAAATGGATCTAATTTCTTCTAAAGGCCCAACGAATGTTCGGCACAAAAATTTGGTACGATTTCGCATGCGATTTGTCTGTGCACTTGTTGTGATTATCTTATGATTCTTTTTATGTAAAGCACTTTAAATGACCATTGTGTATGAAATGTGCTATATAAATAAACTTGCCTTGCCTCGCCTTGCCTTGCGCAGACCAATGCGTAAAAAATGGCCTGGTACACAATGCGCTCCGTTTTCAGGACTCCTGCTTGTCACGGAGAAGAAAATCAAACACTATTTACATGTTTTCAGCCGTTCAGTTTTTTTTTTTAATTTACTGTGGTGTTTATCAAACATGACGAAATTCAAGAACACACAGTCAAGAGAGCCGCTTCAGGATTCTTCCTCTGAAATTCAGCAAAATTGTCTGTTCGTGAACGCCATCGCGTCAAAGTTTTATGTAATGGCAGTGGATCTGTTCATGTTACCAAATGCGGATATTATTGTTTGGCCACTATTCTTCACAGTGCGATGGAGGAGAGATTAAAACACCTCTCTGTGAAATTGACGGCATGCAAATGCTTGTGTTGGTCTGAACAATTGCATTAACAGCTGTTCATTCAAATGAAAATGTGTATTGCATGACATTTGTGAATGAATACTTGCCTTAGTGTGAATAGGCATTTGGATTTTTTCATAATGCTCATAACCTTTGTTTTCTTTCAGGCAACCCCTACCCATACCAACCACAGTATGTCTCTCCCCGCTACATCCGTAACCCGCCTCCCCCGGGCGAGTCTGCAGTGCCACCTTACACAGAGCCCTACCCAGGTTACGGCCCAGAAAGCCAATACCAGGGCCACCACTCTGGTCCCCCTTTCTCAGCCCACACCTATGGACCGCCCCCCCATTACAGTCGCAGGCACGGACACTATCCCGCGCCCCCGCCTCCGTTTGCCCCTCCCAGAGACGACTTGGTCAGGATGAGCCCGGTTCCCTTGGACGTTCCCCCGACTGCTATGCCTCCACCTCCATCAGGAGCTGCAGGTTCTCTGTACCACCCCCAGGAGACCTCATCCAGAGACAGATACCCACCGGACGGGTACTATCCAGCAGGACCGCACCACAGCCAAATGAGGTCCCACATAAGAGTGAGTTCTATTCTTCTTAAAGATTTTGCATGCTAAACAATGGGTTTACTTGCTTGATATGCATGCATATAACATTTCAAATAAACTTGTAGAAATAGGTAAATGAACATGATTATAAACACGCACACACATATTTGTGACCATTTTGCTCATGGCCTAAAGCTTTGCTTTATCTGGAACTAACATGACAGCAGTATGCAGAGAGAATGATTTATACATATGTAGCACTCTCGTTGCATGCTGCTGTCATGTTAGTTTTTGACAAAGCAGGGCTTTAGGCCATGAGCAAAATGGTCGCAAAGGATATCACCTCGCGAAGAATGCAGCTCAAACCGCAATCTCTGATTCATTGACATATAATGCTTAAGAACCGGTTTGAGTCAGTCAAAAGGATTTATGAAACTTGCTTTTAAGTTAGCGCTTTGAATCAAGACTCTGTGTGTTATCCATGCATTGTTCAAAGCCATAACTAAAATGTCTGTCTCATTCAAAATGAACCAGAAATAGTTCCTGCGATTGTATATTTTAGGTTAATGAGGCACTGATTTCCTTGTGCACCTCGAGTCAGTTCAGTTGTTTATATGTTCTCCCTCGGCAGGATCCATACAGCCGCCCTCAGCCCAGTCTGGATGACTTGCATCGCAGGCGCAAGGAGCTGCTTGTCCAGCTGGAGGAGAGAAAAGTCATCTCCCCTCCCCCGTTCGCTGCCTCCCCCACTCCTACACACCCGTTCCCCAACGACTACCCTCAGGAGGTGAGTCCTGAACGAGATCCCCCAATGCTTGCTTGCAGTTATATCATCATGAATATAACATTGAAGCTTATTTTCTCCTCGGAATAAAAAATAAACATGATCATTGCAGCTTTGTATCTCACAATTCTGACTTGGAGTTTATATCTGGCAATTCTGAAATATGAACTCAATTCTGAGAAAAAAGTCGGAACTGAAACATGTTAACTTGCAATTGTAATTCTGACAAGAAGAGTATTTTGAGAGAAACTAGTAATTGTTGGAAAAAAGTCTATTTTGATTACGTGGCAGAAAAAAAAAAAAATTGAGTTGCTAGATATAAACTCGCAGTAGTGCAAATAAAGAATTGTGAGATTAAAAAGTTGTTTTTTTTTTTAATCCGTGCTGGAAACAAGCCTCCAAAATATAATGCTCAACGTTGCTCTTTGTAATTTTTGAATTCTGAACGTCTGCAGTATTTGGAGGACGGCTCTAAAGCCTTTGGAAGTCGGGAGCCGGACTATGCTGGGCAGTATTCCCCGTGGTCATGTGACACCATAGGATCATACATTGGCTCCAAGGATGCTAAACCAAAAGATGTCAGTAATGCTGTGGAGATGATGGCAAGTGATCTACATCACACTTTGTGTTTCCACACATCAACTGAGACTGTAAGTAATGGGTCTTATTTGTTTCCTTCCTGTACTCTCCTACAACAGAATGCAGAGGGAAAAGTTCTGCGTGAACCTCCACTGGACACCCAGCGGCGCTCCGCGGAAGCCAAAGACGACGATCCCATCATTCCCTTTGGTCCTCTGCCCACAGTGTCTCCTTTTGGTGCCATTTCACGTACCTCTAAAACGGGTTACCAGACCACTGGGCCTGTACAGGCCATGGCGTCCTCACAGGTCTCGGGCTCCAAACACATGACAGGTGACTGGAGATCTTTATAATAGTCATCAATAGGGATGGAACGTTTTCTGGTTGATGGAAAGGTGCAATTAACAATTCTTAGTACTTTTCAGTACATTTGAATGGAAGCTTCCACCACGGAATTTTTAAAAAGAAAATTGCGACTTTTTATCGCAATTCTGACCTTTTTTCTCACATTTGCATGATATAAAGTTGCAATTGCAAGTTATAATGTCAGAATTGCGGTATAAACTCACAGTTCTGGATTTTTTTTCCCCATGCAATTGTGAGATATAAACTCGCTCAATTCTGGGGGGAAAAACTGACTTTTTTCCCTCAAAATTACAAGTTATCTCACAATTCTGACTTTATAACTCGCAATCGCGACTTTATATCACGCAATTTTGAATTTATTAGTTGTTATTGTGACACTATACCATGCAATTGAGAGATAAAAAGTCGCAATTACCTTATTGATTTTTTAAAGATTGAATTATCGGAATTTCAATGGTGTATTGGTTCAAGAAGCGACATGAATCTCAGTGTACACTATCGATTTAAAGTGCAGTCATGTTCTCCGTAGACATTTCAGTAGGAATCCAAACGATCAGAAATTTTGCCTGGCAGAAGTTTTGTCTTTAAAGTTGGTCACCCAGATTCGCTGCAATATCCAACAGAAAGTAGATTGCTTTGAAAGTGACTTCATACAACGCTACACCTATTAACAATTAATAATGATGTGATCATGTGACCGCTCCTGTAGACTTTCTTGATCAGCAGTTGTAGTTTTATTTTTGGTAAAGTTTGTTTTCCTCTCAGCAGACTATCCGTATGGAAGCCACAGCGGATGGGGCGGACCGTCGTACCCTCAGCACCAGAGCATCAACTCTCAGGGACACTTCAGCGAGCGGTACTTACCCTTGCCTTTACACGGCCAGAACAGTGTCAGTCTCGTCACTGAAGTTACTAACAGAAATGTTCAAAGAATATTTTATTATCATTGATAAAGACAAGATGAAAAGATGCATCATGGCAATGCTAGATGTTTTTAATTGAAAACAATGGTGATGAAAACGACAAGATATTAACAATGCACTAATAATGTTTGAAAAAAGAAAAAATTAGAGAGAATTTGAACTTTGGCCTGTTACATATTGGTTTTTGTTTTTGCCGTTATTATTGGCAAGTACAATTATTTTTGTTGGCTTAAATTATATGCCATTTAAGTCTAGTAAAATGTTCTAAAATAACATCATGAACTTTCCTCAAAGAAATAAGCTATGCAGATACTTAATCAGGATGCGTAATCAGGTTTTTTTGTATGTTTTAATTTTTGAGCATTGTGTTTTTTTTCCCATGTTTTTGCCAGTCTGCCCATGTCTGCCCCTGACCGCGAGCAGCTCAAGATTGAGCTCCAGCAAGTCAACCAACAGATCAGTCAGCAGACCCGCGGGATGGAGGTGTGTTTGAAATTTCCGTCTAAATTCATGACTCCCAACTAAAAACTGTCTTATGGTCATTAGGCCATCCTTAAAAATATTCTTGTTTGCCGTAACCCGACCGACCCTGTCAAATTAGGACCGACCCAATTTTTTATTTTTTTCCCCTTTTAGTCCGTCCGACTTGCCGGTTGTAAACTTGCATTAAGACCGACCGATTTTTTTTTTACTCTTCAAACAACTAATACAAATGCAATAAAATAATATACATTTATTATAGTAAGTATTGTGAATATAAATTGCGTAGGCTACGTTCTTTCTTTTAAATAAAAACCAGTGGCGTCATCTATTATGATTATGTTTACACCATTGGTTTACGCATGTCACACTATGGCCTGTGCGTTCGCTTCGTTTCATTCACTGTCAATGGTTCGCGCTCGGTGATGATGGCTGCGGCGCGGCTGCTTGTGAAATACGTCTGTATGAGCCTACATTTAGTCGCTCATTATTCGAAATTCAAATAGGGAATCGATGTTAACGGCCTTTCCTCGGAGCGCGTCCAGCTCGTCATGACATGCCCACCGCGAACGCACGTCACACAGCAACTGCAGGCTCTGACAAACAAACACACATAAGTGTGGGAAGCCAAACACGCCGAAAGGGGGACGAAACAGCGCGGTGTGTTACAGAGTTCGCGCTGCGCTGACTTGTAATCTGCGTGGCTCAATGGACCGAGACGCGCGAGCGCGACAGACTCGACAGCGCAGGAGAAGTGTTTGCTTGCGCCAGCCAATGGTCAGAGCGGCAGGAACTAATCTCACCAGCGCCACGCTGACCAATAAAACAGCACATCCCATACCGAAATGTACTAAATTGCACAAAAGAAAATCGACCATTCCATAATATGTCAGGACTACTTAATCGGCCTATAGTTTCCTACAATGCGCCTAGCCATTTGACCACACTGATTTCCGTTAATAATAGCAGATGTTTATGGGTCAAATCTCTCACTCTCTCCCTGCAACTTTTTGTTACCCTCCTTTCCTGCCCCTAGACCAGAAAGGGGGCTTGTAACAGTATGGGTCAAATGTAAACGAATGGTGCCAAACGCGCTGTTTTATTGGTCGGTGCGGCGCTGGTGAGATTAGTCATTTTAATTTATTTGTTTCCCTCTGAAAATCCACTTTCATTGAAATCTAGTGGCTCCTTTTTTTCTTCTTTTTTTTGATTCTGCCTATTTTTTTCCAAATGAATGCAGCTGGAATTAATGCAATAAATATGTTTTTTTTTTACAAAGATTTCAAATTGTTTGTGGTCTATAACCTGTATCAGAATGAGGTTCGCAATGGTGCGCCCGAAGGCATGGGGGTTGAAGACCCAGTCAGTGACGTCACGATATGCAAATTTGTTTAAATTCATACCGACCTAATCACCATGACCAAAATTATCCTTTTTTTTACATTGAATCTTGAAAAAAAAAAATATAGACCTACCTACCGACCCTTTTTTTTTTTTTTTTTTGCTGTTACTGCAAACCAAAATATTTTTAAGGATGGCCTTAATGTGAATATCGCGCTTGTGCGCTCAGGCTGCCAGTAACTCCATGCTCCTACAGAGGGAGGCGTGCGCGCTGGCGTCTCAGCCCGCGGCCGGGGTGAAGTGGTCTTCAGGTGGCACTGTGTCCAGTGAGCAGCTCAGCCTGGAGCTTCATCACGTAGAGCGAGAGATCGGAAAGAGAACCCGAGAAATTGCCATTGTGAGTCAAACAGCCACTGTTAGTGAAACAGGAAATGTATAGTTTCAGTTATGAGTGTTTTTATGAGGTTATTTTTTTGTAGAAGTGCTGATTTATTCTGGTACAGTCTGAACTCACTGAACCTGTTTTTATGATTGAAGGAGAACCAGGTGGCCCATGAGTACAAGCTGAAGGCCACAGAGAACGGGCAGCCTGACCATAAAGCCCAGCTGGAAGAACTCTCTTTAGCACTGGGGTGAGTGAGGAAACTTGTTTACTACCGCTTTTTCAACGCGCCGCGCTCGAGGCCCAACCTTCTTTTCCATCCATCCGTTGCGGATACTATTATGCTCGCCTCGTGTTTTTAAGAGCAAAATCGCGTTCTGTTTGATCAACCCCTAATGCCTGTCACTCAGATGTCAATTTTTTTTGTCAAATTGAACAAACTAAAGCGCTTCTCCTCATGTGGGCGAATGAAGAGAACGGCGCGACTTTTAAAGATCACTTCCGATGACTGTCAAAATTCTCGGGGATTTTGGAGCTGATGTGTGAATGGTTTGCTACCGTAAAAAAGCCAGAATGCCGTTGCTTGTGTGAACAACATATTTGTGTATTTTTACCGGGATCGGCACAGGGTTTCCGCGGGGTTGTAAAAAGTAGTAAATTAAATTATGCCAAATTAAGGCCAGTAAAAAGTAGTAAACGTCATCTGACGAGGTAGTAAATTTTCGAACCCCCATCCAACTAGGCCTATGTGTTTCAATTTGTGTTAAGTGCAGGACTTTGTTCTAAAATTCCTAAAATTCGCGTGGATTTATTTATATGTTGCGAGTAGGACCTGAGCGATATCATGTGATGTGGTGTTTGCTGAAACAAACTGGGTACCCGGCTGGCTTGCTGCCCAACCTGTTCGCGAGTTCGCTTCTATATCAGTCGGCCGCCAAAGCCATATTTGATCGGTGAGTAGCCTAATGTAGACGACTGACTGCTGCGCTTGTGACAGGGTGCATGTTAACTGAAAGAAGGAACAGAGAGAGAGCGCCCCGGCTGCGCGCGCGCACTCAATTCACTCTTGCTCTCTCTCCCTCGCTCATGTTAATCAAAATCTATTAGCACAATGGTAAAAGGTCCGAAGACCGAAGTTTCACGTGGCGCAATTGGAAATTTATTTCCATCTGTGTGTGAATTGTGCTAAAAAACGTTGCCTTATCTTCTCTGAAAGGCGTTCCCCACATTCAGATGATATAACCACACTTTCAATAAACAAAAAAAATCTATCCTAAAAAAACCTATTTGTTGACACAAATTTTATGCGATGTCCTAACTGATGGGATAACCACACAATGCGTACACGTCCGCTAATGACGCGTCACTTTAATGAATGGTTAAAACGACTGATTAGTTAACATGAACTATTAATAAACTGCACGTCTACATCATTAATTAATCTTTCTTAATGTCAATTTCACCATATAGCCTACATTATTGAAATCAAAAGTTGTATTTGTTAACATTAGTTAATGCACTGTGAAGTAACATGAACAAACAATTCATGTATGTTGTAAACTACGTAGTATTTTCAGGTTATTTATATTATAATGTGTGGAAACATTGCCAAAAAAATAAATAATAATAATTTAGTTTAGACTGGACTGGAGTGAGGTGAAACCAGAAAAAGCAAGTTGTTATCTAGCAGCAATTTTTTTTATTTAATTACAAAAAAATTCAGCTAATTCTATTAAATTTTACAGTATATGGTAGAAAATTAGACTTAAATAAACTTTTAAAATAAACTTTTTAATGCTTCGTTTTTATTCTACTTTTTGATATTGATATGATTATACCAAAACAATTATCAGGTCCAGCAAAGAAGAAAGCTATGAAATCAAGTGGTAAAATCAAAGCTTAAAAAAATAAAATAAAAAAATAAATAAAAAGAGGGCAAGAAAGGATAAGTGTCTGTCGGCCACCATCGAAGACCAATTTTGACCAAGGAAAAAACCCTGGACATTATGGGGAAATGCAAGTTTTCTAAGATTATCATATTTTATCTTTCATTTAGAGACAAGTAAAATAATGAAATGAGCAATAGAATGAACAGTGACAGAAACAGAAGCATGCTTTTTAGCAGGATTAATTAAGCATGAAAATATCTGAAGGAAATATATATTTGATGAACAAATTAAGCCAACTAATATGATTTATATTCTTTTGGTTTATCTACTAATACATTTAAAAATGACAAATGCAGTGAAAATTCAGGGATCGGTTACGGTATCGATATCGGCGAGTACAAAAAATGAAAGTATTGGTATCCGTCTCGTTCCCTAATTGAAAATATTTAACGGGTTCGCGTGATGGAGGAGCAAAGCAGTGCCATATTTGAAGCACATTTAGAGATGTGATTAAATAAATTGCTGTTTTGGGATAGTAATTTCACTGCTTAAAGGGATAGTTCGGCCAAAAATGATATTTAAACGATGCATTACTCACCCTCAAGCCGTTCGAGATGCATATGTCAATCTTGTTTCAGACGAACACATTTTCAGTTATTTTAGAAAATGTCTTAGACCCTTCAGTGGATATAATGTGAAGCAATGGGGTCCACCTCCTTCAAGTCCCAAAATGTGCATATATCCTTCACAGAAGTAATCCATCCGGCTCCAGGGGGATAAACGAAGGCCTTATGAGGGTAATCCGTGCGGTTTTGTCGTAAAAATATACATATTTAAAACTTTATAAATAAAAATATCTGACTTCCGGCAACGATCGACGCGCGTCCACGGGTGATGGAAGTCGGCGTACGAGGTAGGACGTAGCGTCGTGACGTAGAACGAACGCGCCCGCGCAGCCAGAGAGCTATGCAGAGAGCAGAGCAAAACATCACCCGTGAACGCGCGTCGATCGTTGCCGGAAGTCAGATATTTTCATTTATAAAGTTTTAAATATGTATATTTTTACGACAAAACCGCACGGATTACCCTCATAAGGCCTTCGTTTATCCCCCTGGAGCCGGATGGATGACTTCTGTGAAGGATATATGCACATTTTGGGACTTGAAGGATGTGGACCCCATTGCTTCACATTATATCCACTGAAGGGTCTAAGACATTTTCTAAAATAACTGAAAATGTGTTCGTCTGAAACAAGATTGACATATGCATCTCGAACGGCTTGAGGGTGAGTAATGCATGGTTTAAATATAATTTTTGGCCGAACTATCCCTTTAAGTCTGCGTGTGTGAGAATGTGTGTTTGTGGGTAAGTGTGTGTGATGTGACACACTTTATTATTAATCTTTATTAATGTTTATGGCTGTTAAGTGTCATTTGTTTTTAAGTGCCGAGGTTATTATTCACCTTATTAGGGCTAAGGGTTAACGTAATGGTTAGGATAACTCAAGGGCTAGGGTTAAAGGGGTCAAATAATGCCATTTTTGTACAAGTTAATATGAATCTTTAGGGTCTAAATGAAAACTTTGTAATATACTTTTATTAAAAATTCTCATTAGTATTTTAAGAAAACACTCATTTTACCAGCTCAAAAACAGCTCTGTTTTCAGCACACCGTTTCAGTGCACAATCACATGCCTTTAAATGATAATGAGCTTTGGTCACCCCGCCCCTCTGCGTACACAGTTTTTAATAACACAATAACCATAACGCGTTGTTCATTATAAACGTGGGATTATGAATTATATTGAGAACATTGTAACGTTACATAGAATACATGTTGTGTTGGTAGTAAAAAATATTGTGGAGGTAGTAAAAAAGGTAGTAAATTCATCTCTATGATTCCTGCATATACCCTGTGGCAAGTCATTCTGGCAATTTTACAGTAATTTCCCGGGATTGCTGTGTGAAAGGGGCTATTATCATGTTTAAGAAACCAGTTTGAGATGATTTGAGCTTTTGTGACATGCGTGTTCAAGGTTCGACGTGTTTTGCGTTCAGAGATGCTCTTCTGCAGACCTCGGGTGTCACGAGTGTTTATTTGAGTTTCTGTTGTCTTTCTATCTAGTCCATGGGCCCAGGCCACAATTTTCACTAATTGGTACCACCAAAGGTGGCAAATTCTAGTTTGATTTTTTTTTTTAGTCCATATCTCTAGATGATATTTCAACATGATAACCTTTTGTAAGTGGTAGCTTTGTCACAGAAATTAGCCTTCAATGACCGTTGAGCCAAAGACCTGTTGAGCCAAAGAATGAAAAAATCTTGTAACTTTATTTGAACAGAACATGTCATACAAAGAAAAACTAAATAATTATACCTTATTCATGAACTTATTTGGCCACTGCAAAATGTTTCTGTTTTTTCATCATCATCATCATCGTCATCATATTCAAACAGTTTCACGACATCAGTATTCTCCTCCTCCTCCTCCTCCCTCTGATTGCTGCAGGTTTGTAGCTTGCACATTTCTGTGCACTTTAATTTATTGGCAAGACGGGAACAGTCGGGAAGCTTGCAGGTCCGTGAACACTTGCAGGCCATTAGCTCCAGCACAGCCATTGGTGCTGGGGGTCCCCGCATTCAGTCTAACATGAGCATACCTGAACAAATAAGTGGGAGATATTTCTCATCCATTTCGGTGAGGTGTCCAAATGTCAAGATATTACTTATAGATATTTATATAAGACATAAGACATCCAGAAGGCAGACAGGGGACCATTGTTATCTCTAAGGTAGCTGAGGAACTCATTGAATCGTGTCAGAATGCGTTGACATGAATCTTGCTCGAGGGTTCCCTCAAATCTTGTCTTAGATATTTCTTCACACAGGTTATGGACTGCTTGCAGAGTTGCTTCCAAATGAATAAGATCTTCCTGACCATGGATTCTGTTCTAACCATGAAAACCTTTCCATGCTAGTCTCAGGAAAGCCTCATAGAGCAGCTTGTGGAGCCTTACTCCTCGATTATACCTGTGACCATCAGTAACCCCTGAGATTGAGCCATCAGCTATCACTCCTGCCTCTACACAAAGGTCTCTTAGACCAGCATCTGCAAACCGTTTTCCAATTGTTGCCATGAAAGTACAGGTGGTATGGAAGACCCCCATTCTAAGGATGATGTTCTTGAATACCTCCTGGTGTTTCCATGTAATTTCTGCAGCTTTGGCATATAATGCCTGGTCAAAAACAACAACAATGTTGTTGAGCTGCAGAGACTTCATGATCCTTATTGGTTAAGTACCTCATGTACTGTTGATAACTGTGTAGCAGGAGCATTGATTGTGGGCAAATAGCCTATACTATCTTCTTGTACACTTGTATCATTGTGGGTGAGGATGTTTAACCCAGTCCAGCTGCAAACATCTTTGTTGGAAAGACGAGCCATTAGCCACACGTGGTTTCTGTCTGCTGCATCCTGTAGAAAGGAGGCATGATTAGTCTCAACTGTCTGTATAACAGGAGGATTGGCACGTTCTCCTGCATTGTAAATGGGAAGTACCATCTCTACTGCTTCAATGCTTCTCTTCTTGGTTTTGGGGATGCAAGGCAAAGCTCTGGTCCCAGCATTATGATCAGCAATAGGCTTTGTTTGCACAGCAATTCCGTTCACTCCAAGTGATGTCCCTTCACCACTGATTGTCTCCTCTAGTCTGTCTATATCCACTTCCTTCCAAGCACCTCCACTTGCTGCTTGCTTCTGAAGGCAAAGGTCTGTGTCAATTTCTTCTACCTGAGAATATGAAACACCATGGCCAAGTCTATTCAGTATCTTTATCAGTTCCACATTTCCGATGAGTGACTTGACAGCTCTGGGATGGGTTATTACCTACTTTGGATAAACCTGTTAGGAGTGTCTGGAGAAACTCCACTAGAGATGTAGGAGTGCTGTTCATCATCTCAAGATCTGACGCATGTGGTGGCCATGCTTGACTAATATCTTGGTTCCGAATATCACCTGTGATCTTCAGTGCCACTTGCGATATGATGTCTTCGCTAATGCTTGAAATTTCAGCCGTCTTAAACTACTTCGCATCTCCACACACTCATCAATCTATTTTTAATTACTCACAAAGTTCTTATTTTATAAAATAGGTATCAAATGAAAAAGTGGACCTTCTGCTTCACAGTGATGCTAGTAGATTGCTTGTAGAACAAAGATGGTCTGAGTAATCTTGATTTGAAAAATCTAATTAAAATAAAACAAAGTTGCAATCATCGGTCAATTCTTCACTCATTTTCACACTGCAGAGTCATAGCTGAATAAGTTGAGAAGTGCCTGTAGCCTCCAAGGGTAACGCATATCAAAATAAACAGCAGGACTCACCTTTTCAGATGAACATAGTGGCTTTTATCTGTACAACGAGGTATGGAGGAGTAATCTGAAACTTTTGAAACTAGCACCAGTCGTTGTTGTTGTTGCATAATATTATTTCATATACAGTACATACATATTTTTTCAAATTGCTAGGTCATGGATTGTCCCACCATCATGGTTCTGATATCACCAGATTACAGACAGTCTTGTCTATCCATATCTGAAAAGATACCCCCCTTAACATCAATATCTTTTGAGATAGATTTACAAATATAATAATTTAGTAGATGCAAAAATATTTTTCTTTAATATGAAGGCTAATACAAAACGTATACCACATATATCATGTCAAATGATGGCAGATCTGGATAGCCCTGACTGTCCTGAAAAAATAAACATATAGCATGTATGGCTACCTCTTATAATAGACTTTATACAAACCTGCGGGGCAGATACTGTAGGACGACGATAATGGCAATAATAATGATTGTCCCAGAATATTAGTAAAGCTACTCATTTGAAAAGGTTATCATGTTTCAAAGTACTTATATGGACTCAACAAACAAACTGGTACCAAAGAAATTTTGCCACCTTAGGTGGTACCAAATTCTGGCTTGGCCCATGGACTAATCAGCTGAACCTGGTCATTCTCCTCTGACCTCTGGCATCAACAAGCCATTTTCTCCCACAGAACTGCCGCTCACTGGATATTTTCTCTTTTTCTGACAGTTCTCTGTAAACCCTAGAGATGGTTGTGTGTGAAAATCCCAGTAGATCAGCAGTTTCTGAAATACTCGGACCAGCCCTTCTGGCACCAACAACCCTGCCAAATTTAAAGTCACTTAAATCACCTTTCTTCCCCATTCTGATGCTCAGTTTGATCATCTCGACTATGAGTGTCTCAATCAGCTCCCAAGGCTTCCTAGGTCTTGAATCAGTATATCGTGCACACTAATTCGGGAACTGGTAAGGACCCTGGCTGACTACACATTAGGACACTGATTTCCAGTTGCATACATGCAGCATTATGTTTTTGTTTTTTTTACAAGCGTGACAACCGCATTCTGTAACTGAACTGACACTTGCACATCCTCAGGACTTACAAATGCATTCTCTGCAAACCCGCGCTGTATGAACTGAGCGTCACTGGACAGCTAGTTGTCTGCCATATCTAGGGCTGGGCATCGTTTTGATTTGAACGATTCCGATTCTTCCTTTCGATTTCGGTTCTTTTCGATTCTCGATTCCGATTCTTTGAGGGGTGGAGTCAAAACATGTCACAGGCTCATTTTGATTCAATAAAGAGTTTTAGTTTTGGGAGCTGCAGCCCATGTGGGAGAAAATTAGGAATGCCTCTGCACCAGACCAAAAAACAGATTTGCAGAACTTGCACCCTGGTCTGGACTCTCTGGACATGTATAAACAGTAATATTAGGACGGCTACTAGCGTGGGGAATTTGCATAATGCTACATTCATCTACGAGGGAAAAAATTATTTCAGTAACGTTCTTGTTGTTCACCACAATTAGCAATTTGGTCAAGCGCTTTGTTACACTACAATCACTTACCTGATTGTGACGAGGTAACGTTACTAACGTTGGTTAGCGCAGGGTTGCCCGAGGAGGACGAGACAGTGGACCTGCGCAGCACGTCGAACACGCTACACTCCTTAATAATTTGTACACCATGCAGGCATAGGCGTAATTTGCGGGTGGGACATGTCCCACCCACTTTTTGCCAGGGTTGATATTGTCCCCACCAAAAACGTCTCGCGGCACGGATGTACCAATACAAATAAATAAATAAATCATCTCCAGTTAACTAGCAGAGCCATTAATTTCGTTCTTTTGTTAAATAAAATGCGATCTAGCGCAAAAATGTGTTGTTTTTTAAATCAAGTGATCAAAGTGCTCGTTGCGGGCAGCGATCAGTGGTGCGGATTCTCTTATGGCTCGCGCAGTACGCGCGCTTCAATCCGTTGCAGAGACTCTAATTTGTTCCAGTGAAATCACAAAACAAATTGCACACCAACGTTTCCCTGCTTGATATACAACCACTGATGAACATATTCGGTTTTGATGAGAGAAAAAAAAAAACTATACGAGTGCGGATTGGAACCCAGAACCTGTGACATGCGTGGCAGAAATTCTGCCACTGGACCAATTACGTACACACGTAAGTGTGACAGACACTTAAGACCCAGGCTTTTTAAGGTGAAATAAAGCCACACTTTTGAGCGCCGCTTACCGTGCTCCATGGCTGCAACAGAACAAGCGGGCGCGGCAAGCACTTCCAGAAATCCGGTGGCCACTATGGACCAAAACTTGCGCGTTTGGAACCGATGATCGGAATCGAAAACAATTCCAATGGAATCGTTATTTTTTAAAGGAACCGGTTCTCGATGCCCAACCCTAGCCATATCTTGTAATGTGAGAGACACACTGTATAATCATGTTAATAAGTTCTGTGTTAATCATGAGTGGTTACTTTTACTCAGAGATGGTTGTGACTTCAGCTTTAAATTAAAGCTGCAGTCGGCAAGTCTGGCAGATTGAGTGGATTTAGGCAAAATTTTGAATGTTTACAACTCTCATGCCCCTCCCCCACTATCAAACGGATACCCTCCCACCGAGTTCGTGCTCGTCAGTGCGTGTGCACCAGGTTATCTGTGAACGTGCCCGTCTCATCAGCATCCATCAACACCATGGAGTATTTGGAGGTATGCTGCCCTGGCTAATCTACCGATAGATTGCAATTGCTAACGTCATTTATACTCTTAATGAGCTTACTTGATTTGTTAGTGTTTTGAAAGCGAGATACATCCGCCATCACTCTTCGTTACTGCGCGAACTTCCGGCGTGTGCATGTGATTGTAACGTGAGGGGTGGCGTGTGCCCGATCTGTGATTGACAGTCAGATCTCACACCCCCCTGCGCTGATTTGACATGATGAACCGGGAGCTGTGGATTTTTGCAAAACAAATAACACGCTCCAGGTGGAGTTAGAAGCTCGGGTTTTTTTCTAAAACCACTTTATTTCTGTTGTTCTGTCGGATTATAGTGTCGATTTCACTGAATATGATCAAACAAATGTTGCCGACGGCAGCTTTAACAAAAAATAAAGAGATTAATCGATTATCAAAATCCAGCCCTAGTTTGAATGGTCTCCATTCTACACGTTTACCTTGACATTGTTACTCATTAGGCTCATCAGTCTATTCGCTTAAGCTACCATCAGCAAAGACCTAAAACAGCCTCTTGTGTTGTCTGTTTTCCTGTTGCTGTTAGGCATGTCTGAATAATGTTTCCACAAATACACTTATTCTCTTTTGTCTGTTCCCCTTCTCTCCAACAGCGAGGTGTCTAATGGATCCAGTGGCATGAAGCCAGCCAGTAGTATGGGTGGATCTATGCTCTCGCTGGCCAATAAGACGTCGTCTCTCTCCCTCTGCTCCGCTGACCAAGCGGCGAGTAGCTCAGACCTTCAAAAGAACGGGGTCGTTCATTCTTGCTCTTAAGAGTGTATTCACACACCTACACACACATTTACGCAGACAACCTCTCCAGAGGTCAATATTCCTCCTCGGAGGGCTTTGAAATTTGTCTCTTGACCAACTCGACCGGTTTCAAGAGGTTTTGCAAGATGCGTTTTTAATAATCAGACGGAGCTGATATGAGGGACACACACCCACCCACACACACGAACACGCACACACCTGCATGCTGCTACATGCATGCACGACACAAACTTCTCTGTTGTTTTATTTAGAAAATGAGCAGTATCTGCCGTGATATAAATTTTCTTTCTTTTTGTTCTGTGAATGAGCTTTTTGTTTTAATGACTTCTCATCGCCTGGAAACCAGGGCATCTGAATAATGCTTACTTTGTTGTGTTCCCAGTATATCAAGAAAGGACAGTCAAAGCCAAAAGCTAGCACAGACAGGACGACGCAAACGAGTGGAATACAAACGAGAATCGGACGCACTATTTGTAGCATCGGGGCAAGTCGCTGATTTGCGACGGTGCGGTCGGGACTCTGTCGAAACGTTCCAACTCTCCCTGGATCTCTGCAGCCTTGAATATGATCTGACTCACCAGGTTTAAAGTAGCATGGAGAACCTTTTATGAATCCATTTTTATGGACTGTTAACACGGGTCTCCTCACATGACGCTCAACCGTGGCAGTATATCGCTGTAAGGCAGTTCGATTGGGCTCTGGATGACACAAGGGGGACGAGAGAGAGAGATATCTTTATAAATATATATATATTCAGTTGTCAGGTTTCATTTAATTTATGGTTTGGCTATATAACTGTTAAGGAATTTGTAAATGTGTGATGACACGTGTCTAAAGCATTCTGTTTTATAGAATGCAAACAGACGTCTTTAAAAAAAGGGCACTTTTTTCCATGTTTTCCATGAGTGTGTGCTTTTTAGTCGAGGAGGTGCAACACTTCACTTCCCTTGTGTTCTTCAGAGCTCTGTGGTCAGGATGATTTTTGTTTCTCCCAGTGCCACAGTCTTCGTAAGATTACAGCCTATTAAGGAAATAATTTCATCAGTTTTCCCTAACTTCTGTGAAGTTGCATATTTGGCTCTCCTGGTCGAGTTTGCATATTCGGGTCTCGCCACTAAATTGCTGCAAAGAAACACACCAGGGTGCGTAGTTTCAACAACGCCGGGTCCCGTAGCGCTGAACGAGTGCGTTACAGTTTTGACACTCTGATAAAAGTTTTTCGAAATTTGCTTTGGTGAGAAATTTGTTAAAGGGATAGTTAAACCAATAATACATTGTGTTGTCGTCGTCGACTCGCCTTAATGCCGTTCCAAACCTGTATAACAAGATATATATATAAAATAAAAAATGGACAAAAACTGTTTTTCAGAGGATCATCTTTTGCGCTCCACAGAATAATGTCATTCATGCAGGATTTGAAAGACATGAAGGGGGGAGCGAGTAAATTCTGACAATTTTCTTTTTTTGGATTAACTATCCCTTTAAATCAAAATCCAGACAGATGTTCATTATAGACGAGCTATTTAATGTCTTTTAAGTTTCCTCTTTCTCTTTATAAACTCTAAATTAGTTTGGAATCAACTCTAGACGATTAGAGACGATCATGAATTTCTGTAGAAATGAGGCGAGAAGACTTTAATGCGACTCGAACGTCGCATGAATCGAGGCCCATCGAGTTGAACCCTTCATGAACCTGCTTCGGCTTAAACGCGCTCCTACACAGCGACCGTTTCCAAACAAGGCCCTGTAAATGAAGAGAACAAGAGTATTTGAAGTCTTCCTATAGTGATGACATTCTTCACGCGTGACATTTTGTTCTAGTCTCTTGAGACCGACTATGATATACAGCTCCAATTTTGGGTGCAACCTCTTAATGTGTAATCTTTTGTGGTTTTTGTGCTATACCCGTGGTGATTATAGATGATTTCTCTTTGTTACGATGACTTGTAGTCACGGTCATTATTTGACGTTCTTGCTCGTGAAAGAGCACACGCAGCCTTTTTCAAGCACTCGTCGAGGTGCGCAGAGACGACATCAACCTTACTGTCGAGGTTTTAAACGTATCGCGTGAGCAAATTCTCCAGAATGTCGTCTTTCTCCATGCTAAATTTGTTGCCTCCTCCCTCTCCTCGACAAGGAAACTGAATTCTCGTAGTGATTCTATTTCATGCTGTTGAAGATCTCCTGAATCAGTCCTGATCTGAAATGCGCCGCTAGGCGTTAGCTTAGGATCTCTCAGCTGAGCCGCTTGTCTCCTCTCTGGTGAATCTGACGTCAGGCTAGAACTTTCCACCTTCGTTGTAGCACAACTATTAAAGTGAAACTCATAAGAACATGCCATGTCACATTTCACCCAAAGATTTGGATAAAGAAAACATGTTTTGTTTTGTTCGTGTCATTTTCATGACAATTAAGCACATCCAGCCTACCTCCCCAAATTCGAAACACATGGAGAATTGTACTTGATTTGAATGAAAATGAAAAAATTAAATATATATGTATAAATAAATTGTGGTTATTTTGAGATGAAATATGTTCCAGGCATGTTCTCATGAGATGTACTTAACTTTCTAGCAATTTTTAGGAACATTAACACCGGGAGGATATGATGCGCAGAGAATTCCATTTATATTGGGATACATGGGAAAAAACAAAAAAAAACTTGAAAAAAATTGCGCACTGCTTAAAAAGTGAGCAGGGGGCGTTTAAATCCAGCGGCTTATTTCGGCGTCTCATCTATAGAGGCGTATGAACGTGACTAAGAAATGTTAAATGGCGAGGCTTTTATACAGAGGTGAGGATTTCTGCTTGTTTTCCTCCTCCCAGCTGTTTCCCATACAATTTTTAGGAGCTTGGCTAACACGCTCCTGTCACCAGTTCGGTTAGCATTGGGTTTTCTTTAGTTTTCGTCAGGCACTAGCACTAGCAAGACGAGCGTTCTGTTTCGCAATGCTAATCGCTGCTACGACAGCGTTTGGCAGGCGTGTTGAGATTTCTTTGGCTTTCACAGAGAGCCCAAAGCTGCACGACGGTAAGCATTCTCCAGTGACGCACTGCCAGGATGCTGCTTCTATTTGAATCGTATGGGAATGTGCTATCTTGTATTTAATATTTAGCACTTGCTTGGGTGCTGTAGACCTCTTTTCCCCCTCTATTGATCAGTGATCTCACTGAGCGTATTACTTCGGGCGTGGATATTTTGTTTGTTTGTTTTACAAATCGTCAACCATCCACACATCGCAACTTACGGGAAACGACTCGGTCAGGCTCATTTACAGTTTTGTGCATGAGGTTCTTTTTCCTCAAGTAAGAAATTGCAGAATAATGTGATTTTCTTTGAGAATGGGTCTGTTCCTAATGGATGATATTCATTTCTCTGCCTGGATTGTGTCTGTTTTGAACAGACCTGTTGAATTCATTTAAATGAAATGCAAATTGACTCATTTTGAACCTTATAACACTGTTATGGCTGTCTTTATTTTTTGTCGTTTTGTTTTATTCCTAACTTTTTGGGAAATGTAATGGCTTTTTTATGATTACTTCCAAGTTGTCTTGTAAAATCTCTTAAATTAAGGTACAGGCTCAATTTCAACAAGGAAAGGTTTTATATATAAATATATATTATACTCCATTAAGGAATGTTTAGAACCATCTTACTCCAATGTGGATGTAGCCATTATTACGCCATTTTATGACTTTGTAAAAGAATTCACTGTGTGAAAATTGGTTTGCATTTTTGTATAATACAATCTGCTTTTTGTTTGTTTAAAAGGAGAGGGAGGTGAAACTGGATATTAGAGGACAAGATTTAAATAAAAAATAATTTAACAGAACCTGTGATATTGAGAAGAAAATGTAACTTGTGTACAACGATTCTAAATGAGAGGGATGGAATAAACAATATTGGTAACACTGCTATAAAGATGTGTGTTGGCTCTGCTATTTTGATTTTTTCAGTCCCAACACTGCGGCTTTGCAGAAACTCGAGCTCAATGTATGGCATGTGATCTGAGTGATCACACATATTGTACAGAACTTGCACTAGAAGTTTATGGTTCAAGGCATTGCACCTTAAACCTAAAAAGATTATAAAGAGACATCAGAAAATGTATTTATTGCCATCTTATTAGGACACAAATACAATTTCGTGACTTCACAAAACATGACTTATTTTTGAATGTAATGTGTTGGAGGTATAAATTCATTGAACAAGGAATGCTTGTTTGGCAATGCATTACAACATTGCAACTTATAACTTAAACCTTCTTTGTAAAATTCTGTAAAGTATAATGTATTTATGAATATAATAGCCTACTCTATCATTTAATACGCAAATTTCTAGGACCAAAACTTTGATAAACCTCTACTTCATGCCGTCTGCCCTCTGATTGATAGTTCTTTTTTTTATCAAGTAAATCTTTTTGCTGTGAAATCTTTGATTTTTATAAAGTAAATGCAAGATGAACATTTACTGGACTGACGTAACATGGGATTACTTGATAATATTCATACATTTTTTAATGTTAAAACTTCTTTAAATAATTAAAAGCCTGATGTGTGAAATATGATACTCAGCAAAAACACATGCAAGTTTGCATGTGTTTTTCTTGAGTATCATATTACACAAACATTAATCAGCGACATAAAAGCATAACCAAACCTCATTGGTTCTTGCAGGAGCTCAAGAGAATGAACCTCATTGGTTCTTGCAGAAGCTCAAGAGAATGAACCTCATTGGTTCTTGCAGAAGCTCAAGAGAATGAACCTCATTGGTTCTTGCAGAAGCTCAAGAGAATGAACCTCATTGGTTCTTGCAGAAGCTCAAGAGAATGAACCTCATTGGTTCTTGCAGAAGCTCAAGAGAATGAACCTCATTGGTTCTTGCACATCAAGCGATCATGCTTGAGCTTCCCTTTACCACAACTGATGTGTGTGTTGATGAATGTTCATATGTGAATTAAAAGCCTAAATTTAATCTGTTCATCATATAAAGTGATCGTGTCTCTTCAGAAAATTTGGACTAAAACGCTCAATATATATGGATTAGTTTTACGATCTCTTTATGAACTTTTTGAAGCATCAAAGAGGTAGTGGAACAGCATGAGAGGTCATCAGCAACACTTTATTCTTGTTTTTAACAATTTCACATTTCTATGAGTTTAAAATAGAATTAGAAACAGTTGCTAAAGTGGTGTTTTTGATTTAACCAACAATTTGACAGATTTAAATATAATAGGGGAGAACAGAACATGCATCTGCCATAACTGATAATAATACAGTGTGGACGAGTAGACTTCAATATCAACTCATCTTGCTTGTGTTTTACATCACTATAAAAGTTGATCCATGTCTCGTGTTTGAGTGTACTAACTAGCTGTTAGTATGCACACAATAAATAAACATTCAGGTTGTGTTTTTTTTTTTTTTGAAGTGTTATACAGACAATTCAGGATAGATGCTTTGGATGGTTATAAATGTATTTGGCACAGATAATGCATGCTAAATATTTCAAATATATATTTGAGGCAAAGATTCTGTACCCTGTACTCCCCCTACTAATGTAACTATAAATATTTAGACCACTGCAAAAATAATAGTCCTTCAACACGACTAAAATACCAGATATGCTTTGTCATTTAAAAAGGCACGTGTGACAGCAGCAACTTTCAAATCACTGATTGCCTTGAATTCATCACTTTCATAAACGACCTTTCCTTTCACATTGAGATCAGGATCCGTCAGTGTCCTAAAAACAAACCTCTTGGATTTTGATTGCCAGGTTATCCTTTCCAGACTGGATGCGTGAGATGAATCAGCTTCTGATTGGTGTGCAAACCACTAATTTGGTCCATGTCTTCTGCTCTTAGTGTGAATCCAAAAACCTATCAAGTAATTATGAAGCTAATATGATTATCAGGACAGGTAAACAAAAACACTCAAATCTTGTAACTTAACCTAAACACTGAAACTGTCTTTGAGATCATCCTTCATAATGTACATAATTACTTTAATACCATTTTGGTCTCTGTTACTTGTAAATCACAAACTAGACAGTAGGCTTGGGCGGTATCCAAATTTTGATACCGTCAAACCTCCTCCCTATTTTACCGCGGTATACGGTATTACCGCGTGACTAATTAAAAATTATGACATAAGGCTCAGAAGGCATCACCAAACTGTTGGTTTGTGCAGGGATGAGTCACAATTTTCGAATATTCAATTATTTGATTTTATTATAGAATATGGAATAGGTTGTGGGATTATTGTCTATAAAAAATCCCCATGTTTTCCGTTCTGATGCGGTGGTGACACGTTCAACCAGAGGGTGGCGATGCCAATAATGCATCTAAAAGCTGTCAATCAACTCTCAGACAACAGGAGAAGATGCACATTGTCTCACACCAGAGCATGTGAGCGGAGTGGTAATATTTCCTCCAGAGCAGAGAGCGCATTTCTGAAGATCACGCGCCGCGTGCTCAGTCCACTCAGCGTCGCGCGCTCAGAATGCCCGCAGTGACATGCTGGTTAGAAAACATGTGAAGTAGGGCTGCCCGTGCATGACTTAAACAAATTTTTTTTTCTAGTTGACTAGTAGTAGTTGATTTAAGCCATTAGTCTAATCACATATTTTTTGATTAAATTACTTAAATATATATAGGAGAGAATGCTAAACCATAATGAGCGTTTTCGTAATATATTGCCTATTCTGCATCTCAAAGCACACATAAAGCTTGCCACAAAGAACCGGCAAAAGTAATTATTATGCATGAAACATTTGAATTGTTTATTAATAAAAAACTTTCTATGTCAGTGGCTGCACAGATAAAGTTTACGATGCAGACTCGCATCTTCGCAGTAGTGAACGCGCATAGAGAGAAATGCACACTTCATATGAATTAGCCTACAGAGAGCAGGCCATTTCTTTTAGTTTTTAATTGTTTTGTTTAAAGTAGACATTTCAAGCTTTCTATATATATACACTTCTCAGATATTTAAGGCATCTATCTTATAGGCTGAGTTTCGTTTATTTTAGGAGACGCGCTCCAGTTCACGCGCCGGCTTATATTGTCTAATATATATCCTTCTTATTTATTAATCCAGGCAATTCGTTGATGAAACATTGATTAAAATGAGGATACAATTTATGCGAAACGAAATTCACTTTAAAGAAAGGCTTTCTACAAAACAAAACGTAATAAGTGGTCAAAAATCATGTCTGACCCATTCCAAATGTTTTCCGATATTGGGCATCTTATGATCCTATCTTATTCATCTCATGCAGTTTCCTTTTCATATAATCAACATAGATGAAATAAAAAAAAAATAACAACATTATATTATTAAACATAAATATGAAAAGAAATGAGTTTTTTTTTTTTTTTTTTTTACTTATAGCCTATTTAAGTGTCACATCGCTCCGCTGTATAGCTGTGTAGCCTACATGTGTGCGTGCATATGGTGGAGGGGTGCTATTTTCGAATAATAATTAAATAATACCAGGCGATCTTCAAATATTATTTTTGCTTGAAATGCCCATCCCTGCCAAACTGCAGAAGTCGTGTTCTTCTTCGAGACCAGGTCACTCGTTGCGCAACTTGCCATCATTTTTAGCCATTAAATAAATTATATTTAATATTTAATCCTTTTCTCCTATATAAGTGCATTGGATTTTTTTTATGACGGTATGACGATATTGAAACTGATACCGTTGCTATTTTTAGATCCCGCGGTATACGATATTACCGTATTACCGCCCAAGCCTACTAGACAGTTTCCCAAGCTCACCTGAACAGGTGGTTTTCTTGGAGATTTGGTCATTCCACATGAGTTGGGTCCCAGCTCACATGTCTCCCATCATGCAACAAACTCAGAGCTGCCACGTCGGAATCATCCAACCTGAACCCAAACACCTGCGCAGCACAACATTATGAGTGCGCTTTAAAAAGAATGATCTCAAAGAGAAACTATTGATAGTTCAGTTAGTGGCAAAAAGTATTGAAAGAGAACTGAGAATGTATAATATTTTTTATTATACATTCTCAGTTCTCTTTGAATAGTTTTCTCAGTTCTCTTAGAAGACATGGACCAGTATATATATATATATATACACACACACACACACACACGTATATCTGTAGGCGCTATATAAATGTAATGTGAAAAATTAATTGCAACTTTAAGATCCAGAATTAAACGTACTTGGCAGTTTTCATGGATCCTGTCTGGTTTGGTGGACTTTGGAATTGTGACAACTCCATTCTGAAAATAAATGTAGAACTAAGTTAATGAATAACATTATAACGGCTACTTCTGAATTATATTTGCATGACATTCTGGAAAAGAAAAAAAACTCGCAGTTGGGAGATGATCATTACATTACTGTAACAGACATTTCAAAAATATTATGAAACTATACTGTTTCATAATGTTGCTGTCTACAATGCATAACCAGCTTTGAGCTTATCTTCATACGAAGAGGAACATATCTGGAAATGATAGAAACCGTGATTTAAGCTTTACAGGTTTGAAACAACATGAGCGGGAGTAGATGACGGCAGAATATTGCATTTTGAGTGATCCCTATAAACTGCCGTTGAGGATCATCCTTTGAAAAGCAAACTGTACCTGAATACTCCAGCGGATGCATATTTGTGACGCGCTGCGGCCGTATTTATGGGCGAGCTTCATGATTGCTGGGTGAGTGAGGGCTTGACCTTTGGCCAAAGGACAGTAGCCTTCAAAAACAATATCCTCCTTCCGGCAATATTCAACCAGCTCCAGGGGCTGCTGGAAGGGATGAAACTCCACCTGCCAGTGAATCAAACTCAATAAATCATTCAGCTGCATAATGCTCCGGTTTACTAATTAACCTGCCTTAATCTCTCGTATCGTGTTTTTTTTTTTTTTTTTCAACATTAAAAGTGTGTGTCTTGTGCCACAGTAGACCTTCTGTTGGCTCGGACCAGATGGGATAGCCTTCGTTGCCCTCATGCATCAATTATTCTATATACATATATACTATATATATATTATTATTATTATTATACTGTGCATAAAGCTAAATGAGGAACCAATACATTTTCATATTTCTGATATCTTTGAGATTTTATATAAAGTAAGAATGCCACAAAGTTGTGGTTTATGCATCATTTGATTGATAATTGTATGTGTTTTATATAATAAAGTTTTTTTTAAAATGTCTTGATGCCTTTATTGAAGTATATGGAAGTTTTTGAATGTTTTTATTTTATTAAATGTCCCATTTAATTTGTAACAATCACTGCATTTATGCACTTCATGCTTTAAAAAAAAAAAAAGTTTAGCCTCATCATCGCCATCATCTGATGTGGGCATATTTAAATATATATATATTTTTAGTTTATAAATCACATCTACCCTTCTTTTCTGCAATTACATTTGAATAAAAAAATAAAAAAAAGTTTGCTTTGTAGTAATGGCATTATAAAATAGAACATTTGAAATAGTTAAATGTACAGAAGTTTATGAAGGATTCTGCTATTGAGTGTATTAAACCTCTAAAAAGCTTTAATAACGGATTTTGTTATCATGGAGAATAAAGATAACCATTCATTCTTTATACATAAAGCTAAATGAGGTTGCAACACATTTTCATGTTTTTTTTTAAAGGTGTACAGTAGTTTTCCTATTTTATTAATAACAATCTCAGCTGCTTTTTTTGCACTTCATGCTTTCTAAACTAAGTTCATTCTCCTCATCATCAGCTGATGCAGTTCTCATTTTTAAGTTTGAAGAGTTGCGTCAAAAGCCATTCGTTCAGTCATACCTGGTTAACATGAGGCACAATTCCACCGCGATCCTTCAACTCGTTCAAGTGGCGGATGAGAAAGTTACTCACTCCAATGGCACGACACAAACCTGCAACAAGGAAGAGGGGACATGATCAACTGTCTGAGTTACTGTCATTTCTACACAGTAGAATGAGCCAAAAAGAGCACGAACCCTCATCATAAAGCTCCTCCAGAGCTCTCCACGTCTCCGCTCGGACCTCGCGACTGGAGAGACCTGGAACCATGCAGTCAGGCCAGTGCATCAGATACAGGTCTGTAAAACAAGACGTTCAATGGTTGTTTACAAAGAAATCTAGCATTGAGGTCCAGTTTTGACTTAAAGGGACAGTTCACCCAGAAATGAAAATTAGCCTTTGATTCACCCTGAAGTCATCCTAGGTGTATATGACTTTCTTCTTTCAGACGAATACAATCGGAGTTATATTAAAAATATATGTCCTGGCTCTTCCAAGCTTTATAATGGCAGTGAATGGCTGTTTCTGTTATTTTACTTTACCTCTGTTATCTTACACAAACGCATCACTTCGCTTCAGAAGGCCTTTATTAACTCCCCGAAGCCTGTGGAGCACTTTTATCATGGATGGATGCACTTTTATGGACTTCAAAACAGAAACAGCCATTCACTGCCATTATAAAGCTTGGAAGAGCCAGCACATTTTTTTAATATAACTCCGATTGTATTCGTCTGAAAGAAGAATGTCATAAACACCTAGGATGACTTGAGGGTGAGTAAATCATGGGCTAATTTTCCTTTTTGGGTGAACTATCCCTTTAAAATGTCACTCTTTTACCCAAGTAATCCACCCCCAGCCTGGCACACGAGTCCCGGCAGGCTTGTTTGGCGCTCTGGTAGCCGTAATCTCCAGGCCATAGTTTGGTGGTGAGCCAGAGTTCCTCTCGTGGAACAGCACTGTCAGCCACAGCTTTCCCCAAAGCCTCTTCACAGCCGTAACGCTTGGCCGTGTCTATATGTCTTATCCCGCACTCCTGTAGAGCATAAAGCACCGCCTCATGACTGTAGCCTCCGTCATGAGATGTCCCTGACGAATGAGAGACGGCAATAATTCAAATCCGTTACACTTGTGTGTGTGTATTGACAATAAAGACATTTGACACTGCTCAAATATACACAAATCATTACTGGTAAAGAGTATATGCTGGCAATTTTGGTGTCACTTAACAAAAAACTATTATTTACAAACACTCCCAAAACATTCCCAGGTCATTCCTACAGTTTGGTGGATTTTGAACTAAGCATTTTTGTTGAGAACGTTTCTAAAATAAATTATTTTTTTGTCTTGTCAGAGGAAGAAAGTGTCTGTCTATCATACAAACACACTGGTCAAGCTCAGGCAAGTATGACCTAATAATCCTGACCACGTATTTCAAATTTTCACATTCACATGGGCGTTTTAACCCATTTAATAGTGACCGTAAAAAAATGTGTCATTTCTAAGGCTATAAAAATGTTGCTGAATAATCTATCAATGCATTTCCAGCAGATATTGAAATAATAAAGGGTCTCAATGAAATATGTGCAGTGTCGCATGTTTACTGTAAATTGTCACATGACCAGAGCTGTTTATTTCCTGTGTGTGCCAAGAGAAGAGGATGGCAGCAAGAAAGCTCCAAAAGAAAGATTAGTAAAGTATGTTAACATAAAGATAGGACAGATTTTTGGTACACATCATGTTTAAGGTGTCTAGTATTGATTTATGCATTTGCAATTACTCAACTTTGTTTAACGTGGTCATAGAACTCACAAACATGTCACCGGCAACAATAGTGAGCGGTGGGATAACCCATTGGATCTATATGCTACTACACAAAGGCTAACTGTTCTACCTTACTTTCTGCTGCTACCTAACTTACTACCTAATTTTACATACAGACACATACACAGAAACACACACTCGCACATCACACACACACGCCACACACTCCACGCACGCCACACACTCCACGCACGCCACACACACCCCACACACACGCACACCCCACACACACGCACATCACACACCCCACACACTCACATCACACGCACACCCCACATGCACACGACACACACCCCGCACACACTCACATCACACACCCCACACACACCCCACACGCACGCACGCACACCCCACACGCACCCCACACACACACCCCGCACGCACACCACACACCCCACACGCCACACACTCCACGCACGCCACACACTACACGCACGCCACACACACCCCACACACACGCACACCCCACACACTCACATCACACGCACACCCCACACACACCACGCACACCCCACATGCACACGACACACACCCCGCACACACTCACATCACACACCCCACACACACCCCACACGCACGCACGCACACCCCACACGCACCCCACACACACACCCCGCACGCACACCACACACCCCACACGCCACACACTCCACGCACGCCACACACTACACGCACGCCACACACACCCCACACACACGCACACCCCACACACACGCACATCACACACCCCACACACTCACATCACACGCACACCCCACACACACCACGCACACCCCACATGCACACGACACACACCCCGCACACACTCACATCACACACCCCACACGCACGCACGCACACCCCACACACACCACGCACGCACACCACACACCCCACACGCCACACACTCCACGCACGCCACACACTACACGCACGCCACACACACCCCACACACACGCACACCCCACACACACGCACATCACACACCCCACACACTCACATCACACGCACACCCCATACACACCACGCACACCCCACATGCACACGACACACACCCCGCACACACTCACATCACACACCCCACACGCACACCACACACCCCACACGCACACCACACACCCCACACGCACGCACACACCCCGCACGCACACCACACACCCCACACGCACACCACACACCCCACACGCACGCACACACCCCGCACGCACACCACACACCCCACACGCACGCACACCACACACACACACACACACCGCACACACGCACACATCCCAACCACACACGCACATCACACACACGCACGCCCCACACGCACACACATACCACACACCCCACACGCACACCCCACACATACACGCGCACACACACACACACACACACACACACACACATACACTGCACAGGTCAAATAGACCTATATTCAGTCTGTCCAATGGTTGATACAACACAGTATCCCACCGGTCACAATTGTGACCGATCATAAAACTCACTTTTTCACACACTTTTCCATGAAAATTTAAAAAAGAATTCTGATTGATTGTTTCATAGGGATACTAATGACACATGGTTTGGATATTTTTGTGTCTGGGAAAAATTTGGGATTAAATGGTAAAAAATGCCCATACTAGCGGGAAAGAACACCATGCTAGCAGAATCTTTAACAGACGAAATCTATTTTTAATTCATGTTTAATATAATTGTAATGTATAATGTAGACACGGTGTTGCGGACCTTCTTTTTTTTTTTTTTTTTTTTTTGCAAGTAGTTACAAGTTTCAGCTCGTAAATCTTTGACGTAAACTCACCTTTAACAAACACCCCCCAAAACAACACCTAATCTCCCACCTTTGGAAAATGTTGCCCCCGATGTTCTCTGAACGCCGCCCATTGAGAAATGCTATTTTATGCCATTAGATAAATCTTCTAAAATTATGCAAAAGTGAGAAAAGTGTAATGACTGATTCTACTTGTTCTTGGAGTTGCTTTTCCTCCAATAAATGATGTCACTTCAAGCAAGTCATGTGATTTAGGGCATACACTTAAGATTATAAAGGGCAATCACAATAAATTGTATTTTATGTCAAAGAGAAACAAGTAAATGTGTATACTAATTATTCAAATTGCTAATTTAGCAATTTATAGAAATATATATATGTAAGCTTTTTTTCAAAGTGAAGTTGAGAAAACATGATTGGGATATGGGAATTTGCCTGTCAATTTCTTTAATTATTCTTAGGTACTAATTATTATGAATTTGTGTTAGGGTACATCTATTCAAAATCCACCAAACTGTAGGAATGATCCTGCCCTAACAAATGGCTGTAAATGACCCATGAGTCTATTTTGCTTGTTTGATAAATCTTAATTATGACATAAAAAGTCATAATTATGACATACAATGTCATCTCATAAGTCATAGTCTAAGTCATAATTATGACTATTTATGTCATTATGAAATTATGAGATAAAGTCAGACATCCTAAGTCATAATTATATTAAAAAGAATTAAGAAAAATAACTATCATACAAACAAAGTCTAAATTATGACTGTCACAGTTAGGAAATATTTATTTCTATGTCATAATTTATACCTTTTATGTCATAATTAAAAATAATTCTCTCATAAATATGACTAATATGGTAACGTTAGCCAAAATTATTACTGAGTGAGTCACTTTTCTATCATTTATATCATATATTGTTGCATTCGGATGTCATAATGGCGCTTGTTCTCACCATAGACGGTAAAAAATAGGTTCTCACCTAAACCCAGAATGGGAATGTTCAGTCCATTCGACAGCCCAACCGTAGGACAGGACAGCGCAGTGCAGCTGCTGGGAATTGTCACCATATTTTAGCTCATGTGCACTCTATGGACACAACACGATTCGATGTGTATCAGAGAAGAAACCCGGTTTCAGCACTAGTTTCTCACTAACTACCGCTCTCTGCAGGAAAGGACGCGAGCGTTTCTGTAAATGTGTCTGTAAACTCACAGAATAAAACATGTAAAATGCCTCACCTATCTATCTCTACTTTAAAGAAATTAGCGTCGTGAACGAAATTGTTCCGTTGAGTCGAATATTTTAATGAACTGAATGAACATGAATCATTTGCTAAACTGACCGAATCAGTGGTCTAGCGGCTCATTCCGACAAGAAAATTGTATTTATTGTAAATGCAAATTATTTTTAGTTTCTCAATTGCTTTATGTTTTTAAAAGATAAATCGCTCCAACAAACTGAAATGGGTTACATGGAATTTTGTGGCCAAGGCCAACCTTTTTCTTCTTCTTCTTTTTTATGCTTTTACATACCGTAAGAATATTGTCAATGAGTTACCTACAAATACATATACATATAACAAAGGAACAAAATAAATAATTACACAAAAACAATGAAAAACAAAAGATGACATGGCAAGAGATATGACAAGAAGGCATACACTACAATTGTATTGATACAATAACATACATTAATATACAAGAAAAGCTTTTAAGTGCATTTATTTAAAAAATATATATATATATATATATATATATATATATATATATATATATATATATATATATATATATTTCTTCATAATACATCTTAGGGATTTTGTATTATGTATATAACGAAGAGATTTAAGAAGTGAGATTAATTCATTGTCAAAATAAGGATAGGATAGAATACCATTTGCGAACTTTTGTTTATGAATGAGGATTTTGCCATATAAAATAAAGAAATTAGCAATGTACTCTAGGGGTGGCCAACGCCAACCCAAGTGGGATGACACCCCCTATGGTGACGTAAAGAACCACTGAACCGCGTTTGGAACCGATTCACGGAAATGAGTCGGACAGCCATTCACTATAAGAAACACAGTGCGCATGCGCGAGCAAGTAAACTTCTTTCAGGAGTCTTCATGGCTTATGATGGGAACACAATCAAGGTACGTGTTGCTTAGTGTTATTTCAAAATGCAAATCTACTCATGTTACTGTCTATCATGACAGCAGGTCTGTTGAGTTTATCTGCCTCATGGCATGCATGTGATAATTCGTCGCATACAGTGTCTTTCACCGTTAAAGTTTTAATTACAATGTATTCTGTTGTTTTTAGACAGGCACACAATATTTTTTAGTAAAACTGTTGGCATGCATGAAAGGCATCCGGGACGGGTATAATGAACATATGTGTTAGCACATGTTATTCCCTGTTTGTTGTGTTTGCTCGATGTGGAGCTTTTATGTTTGGGCCATTAAGTTCTGAAACATTTAAGAATAAAACCTGCACAGAGAAGATATAACAGTGTCTCAGTGCTATATCGCCATTTAATAAAAATGTTTCCCACTTTATTAAATTCCACCAATAATTCTGTAAATGCTGTTATGGTCAGTGTGGAAATGTGTAAAGTGTGTTTGAAGGATAGTTCAACAACTATTTACTTTACTCCAAAACCTATGACTTTGTTTCCCTATTCTATTGAACACATGTATATATTTAGGCGAGTGGGTAAGATTTTTTTTATGTTTTTGAAAGAAGTCTCTTTGAGAATACAGTAAAATCTGTAACATTATTATAATTTAAAATACCCGTTTTCCATTTTAATTTACATTAAATGTAGTTTATTCCTGTGATGTCAAACCTGAATTTCCAGCATCATCACTCCAGTCTTCAGAGTCACATGATCTTTCAGAAATCATTCTCATATGCTGATTTGCCGTTCAATAAACATTTCTTACTATTATGAATGTTGAAAACAGTTGTGCAGCTTCCTATTTTTGTGGAAAGCATGATGCATCTCTTCAAACCTCTTGTCTTCTCCTGTCTTCAGGATTGGTCGGTGCTTCTGCAGATCATTGGGCCGCGTGCGGACACACTTCATCATCATCTCTATTGTGTTGCTGCTTCTGGCCGGAGTCTCCCTGACCTTTTTATTGCCTAACAATGAGGACGGCAGGATTCTCCGACAGCTCCGTCATAGATCCAACACCTCACTCACCGTCCCAGACCCAGAGGACAGTTTTACTATAATAATGCAAACATACAACCGCACCGATATACTCCTCAGGCTCCTCAATCATTATCAGGCTGTGCCTCATCTGCAGAGCATCATCATAGTGTGGAATAACCCCGGCGAGCCACCGCCCAGGAAACTGTGGGATGCCCTCGGCCCACACCCTGTGCCCGTCTTCTTCAAACAGCAGAGCGTCAACAGAATGCGCAATCGACTGCATCCGCACCCTGAGATCGAGACGGACGGTAGGTGTGTGTGATTCTCACGTGAAGGAGAGGTGACCTGCCAGGTAGTAGACACAAAAAAGTTACAAAACTGTATTTTTCCCATTTAGGGTCAGGGGTCAATGACATTTGAGACTGCCCACGATAATAAAAGGATCTAGATTAAAACACACACTTTTATTTAACAGGGACAGTGCAGATTACTAAACATTTTATTCATACAAATATCATAAATTATTTATTCCTAAATACCGTCAAGATTTTAGGGAGATCACATTTTAGAGCTGGGACTAATTTTGGCTTGTCATAAAGTCAATTGATCTGATATTTTAAGAAACTTGACCGTGACATAGTCATGAAGGTCATTTTGGTCATGAAGGACTGAAGGTCCAGTCATTTTTTTGGACAGTTTTTACTTCATGCCCTACAGAATTATCTAAACAAATGTTAATTCATTTCATTTGTTAATTCAAATGTAAAATCATGCTCATCATAGAATTAGTGATCCATTGCATTTTAATGTACCGTATTTGTAATAAATGAATAGATCATATATTTAACTTATGCATTTAATACAATGTAATGTTTTCTCAGAAGTCATACAGGTTTGGAATGGCATGATGGTGAATAAATGATGGCAGAATGAATTGTCATTTTTGGGTGAACTGTCCCTTTAAGGCACAATCCTACTAGATTCATTACGACTGTATTTAATGTGCTCTTGTCTTTGAGATTGGACTGACCGACACTCTCTTTCACCCGACAGCTGTTTTGATGCTAGACGATGACACATTGGTCAGTGTTCCCGACATCAGCTTTGCATTTTCTGTCTGGAAGGTAATGTTTGCCATAAGCATCGTGTTATTGACATTCTGTGGAGATATTTTCCGAAAGCAACTCTAGGAAATTTGATCTGTGTTTTACTTGACTATCTTTTTACATTCTGTTTCAATTACTCTCTTCAGAGACACATAAACAAACTTGTTTTCATTTCAATTTGTGTTGTAGCAATTCCCGGATCAGATAGTGGGTTTTGTTCCACGGAAGCATGTGATCACAGCATCTGGTGTGTACAGCTACGGCAGCTTTGAGCTTCAGGATCCAGACAAAGGTGGAGGCGACAGGTGAGATTTGGAAAGATTCTGCGATTTTATTATTTACAGGGTAAATTTTATTTTTTTATATGAATTTGTTTTATGTACTATTCTGTAGGCCTGTATGTATCCTTGGGCTGTTGCCCTTCAGTGTAGGGGTCGCAATGTTTAGCGCAATGTTTAAAGACGTCCATCTAGTGCGTGTTATATAGGAATATATATGAATCAGATCAAATTACTAAAAACTTCCCATGGCCAAACCAGTTAAGAACCACTGGTCTGGATCACACTTGCCCTCACCTCTCAGTGTTTTATAATCCAGCTATGATGTCATGATGGTTTAAATAATTGTGTCCTTTCCTTTTAATGCTTCAATCAAATCAAATCAAATGTTATTTATAAAGCACATTTTAAAATCAACCTTGGTTGGCCAAAGTGCTGTAAAAGTAAAAATAAAAACAAGAAACATGAAAGAGTTACAGAAGATTAAAAGCACAAGAAATAAATATCCAATATAAATATTAGAGGAAAAACTTAAATGAAAATGAGAAATGTTGCTGAAGTTCTTAAATGACTAAAACTAAAATAAAATGTATTCAAAGTATCATTAGTATTATTTAAAGTAAATATAAATCCTAAATAAAAATATTTTCAAAACCCCAAAAAAGAAATAAAAATGACAAACGCACATAATAAAATTATTAAAACTTACACTATGAAAAAAAAATATATAAAAGCTGTTCCTTGTTGCGGACACTTAAATGTATGTGATCCCTATTTCACATTATGAAAGTAAAATGTGTTGAAAAGAGCAGCACAAAAGTCACAACCACGCAACACAGCCGAATAAATGTCATTTCATCATTCCATTAGCTATTCGATGATCCTAGTGGGAGCGGCGTTCTTCCATGGGCGCTTCCTGAAGCTGTTCCGAGATCAGCCCGGTGAAGTGCACGCTCTGGTCGACCAAACCCAGAACTGTGACGACATCGCCATGAACTTTGCTGTGGCACATCATCTCTCACAGGCGCCCGGACTGAAGCGCCCCTCCGGGGTGTTCGTGAGGCCCGTAGATATGCGTAACCTGGAGAAGGAAGCCAGCAGCGGGTATGTGGGCATGTGGCACAGAGCGGAGCACATGCTGCAGCGCTCCTACTGCCTCAACAAGCTGACACAGATCTACGGAGAAATGCCGCTCCGCTACTCCAACATCATGATCTCACAGTTCGGCTTTCCCAGCTATGCTAATCACAAGAGCAGGATATGATGTCAGCTCATTTTGAGAGACGGGTGCAATCTCAGTAATGAGATATTATGTCATGTCTTTGGACAAATGCCATGCCTGGCGATTTTAAACACTTGGAAGTGCACATCTCATAATACATGAGTTTGTCCAACACAAGTTTGATGGAATTTTGCAAAGGTAACATTTCTACATTCTCAGGCCTTTGTGGTTTTACTTTTATAATAGCTAGAAATTTAGTCTTTGATTCTTCTTCTTCTTTTTTTTGTTGAGAATTTATGCATGTTCTTATGATACTATTAAAGCTTGTTTTCACCCACAGAATAAAAAGTAAAAAGAATAATTATTTGTGACTTTTTATCTTGCAATGCAGACTTTGTAACTTTTTAATTAACACAATTCTGAGAGAAAAAGTCAGAACTGCGTGATATTACGGAACCTTTAAAGGGAGAAGATGAAGGGAAAAAAATGACATAGGAGTGAAAAATATATTTCAGTGATATTTGTGTTCGCTCGCAAAAAAATATG